GCCCTCGAGCATGAGAGGCGGGCTTTTTAACCACTAGGCCACCACTGACTTTTTTCTTAAGACATTTATATCGACCATTAATAAGAACTTGTCCCAAACAATTAAATTATTACAAAATGAGTTCAATTCTTCTACGTATCTGGATTAAATAATAATAATAGCAAATTCATTCATGTTTTTTTGTATTTTTTTTACGTCTTCAACTATTATTTTGTATAAAAATAGACTGAAAACTCTTTTTATAGCATAGTATAATGAATGCGTAATGAAAAATAAAGCTATCTTAATTAATGTTTTTTTGTGATTTTGCATATTAGATCACTTACAATATTTTTTCATGTATTCAGATGCTTGGTTACATACGTATATTATGCATTTAAACGTTTTTATTTTACTTTGATTATAAATAAGAATATGTTTGATACATTTTTATGTGATTTTTTTTTATTTGCAGGGCAACTTTAATAAATCGATTCAAAAATAAAATGTATCCCTTAGGATCTATGACAATTCTTATCATTTAAGTATATAGCAAAATAAATAAATAAATGTTATTTATATCTACATTTCTTCACAATGTTATCTTTTAAATTATAAATTTACAAGTTCAGATAATAATATGGCGATTTACATTTAAAAAAAATTTAAAAACCTTATTATTCGCAAAAATTAAACTTCTAACAGATTTCTGAGTTTATTCGCAATATTCGACTTCGATCTCCCGACTAAGTTCATTACACTATACTCTTTAAAATCTGGTTTGGTATTTTAAGGTTAAATACATTTGTTTTAAAAAGGCCTACATTCTCATCTTAAGTACTTTGTAACTTAAAATAAAAAGATAAATCTATTAAGGGATAACACAGTGACTGCATTAATACGAGAAGCGCCAACAAACAAGTTTTTAAGAATAAGGAAATGAAAATTGAAATGAGACTAGTAATATTTATTTTAACAATGACCAAATCTTTACTCTCATCAAATATGTAGACAATCATATATTTGTTTTCGTAAATTAAAATAAAAAGAGACAATCAGTTATAAGTAAAAAAATGTGACGACCGGTATCGTTATTAATATTACAATAGCACAATTTAGAGCCATATAAAATCATAGTAATATATCACAACGCCCCCTCAAACGGCAAAATAACAAACCTTGGGCGACAAGTGGCTCAAAATCGCCATATGACTACGGTGTCAGTGCAACCATTTATCATCTGAGATGTGACAACTGAATTTATTTATATAAAAAACAAACAAAGCTACCCTGTCCCGTGGATAACAATTTTGTTCTACTAGTAATATTATCACAGAGTAGTCACATAAATATACAAGACATTTGCTATACGAGTAGATTTTTATTTAGTGTAACATTTACATGTTAAAGTATATAATTTAATCTTAATATACTTAGATAGTAAATGTAAATTTATTTGAACATTGAGCACATAAAATAAAAAATATTTATTTTAAATAAATAATATTATAAACGCATAAGAATAGAACATCTTATTTGCCTCTTTTATTCCCTACTCTGTGCTTTATAGTCAAAATCTGAGGGGCAGCGCCATTATGGAGGGTGAGATACAATGAAAAGATAGCAATTTGATATTCAAGCCACATTTTTAATAAGCACCAGGTCCAGTAATGGCTGAGTGGCCCACTCTTTATCTTTGTTATTTTTATTAATAAATAAACATTACTGCCCTTTTATTAATTAGAGATCAATATGCTTAAATTTATATTAACAAAATTAGCTTCTCAATACAGTCGCTTGCAAGCTAGAATCATGTCTTGTAACATGATTTTGTTAAGTATCATTTATCTCAATGAATAAAATGTCAAAATTATAATCAGATTCAGTACTCAACAGTCTATGACAAAATGAACGTTAAACAAAATTATGTTTTCGTCTTTCCCTGCCGTATATGGCATTATGCATTGAAACTCGATTGTTACTTAACGAGGTATTGTACCACATCTGTTAGCAGTATACTGTAGTGGCTTTTTGTGTTTTTTGACGTTGACGGCAAACCCATCCTGTTTATGGACTAAGCAAGTGTTGCAAATGTTCCGGATTCATACATTAACTACTTTAAATAACAGTTTATTAAACTTTTTAATTTTTTTTTAAACTAACTTTATTTAAACCCACTGCTTTCTTCCGTGATTGATTGCCTGTTCGTCCTATCTAATAAGCAAACTTAAACAATACAACTTAGCAGAACTTAGGCTAAGTAACTAGTATCGCTTAATTAGTATTTGGCTTCTACCCTGTTCAACTTGCTAGACCTAATTAGCAGTCTTGTACTGTTTGATATAGTGGTCACATGTGTAATGTATACTTAATAATACATACATAAGCATTGGCTTTTAACAAAGAAAAAGGTTTATTTATGCTATGAATTGACGCACAAAACTTTTCTTTACATTGTTTGATTCCCAGAACATGTATTTATATCTGGATACCTAAACCATTGCATTAAATTCAAAAATTACTATATAATTACAAGAACAGGTTTTGTATATATCTGTACTGAAATATTTATACGTAGAGTTTTATAGAAATGTAAAACAAATAGCCAAATAACATAAAAAGTCTTTGCTATGTTAATAATCCTTATTAAAACCGCTGTAAAAACTTCAAAATATTGCCTTAGTATTTTCTTTCCTATCTTTCTTATATACCTTCCTACAAAACTAGTTGTCTTATTATCAGATCTTGACAATATCCATAAAAAGTGAGCATTAATTATTCCTTCTAAATTCACCAATATTTTTATCGATGACCGATAATTCTATAATATATACAATCAACTTTTTTGTGTAATTATTACCTTTTATTTTCTTTCTACTTTGGCTAGATGTACCTAACTTAAAAACGACGTTGTTAGATAGGTTTTAAGCTTAGTTCTTCTTTACAGTAATTCATGTTTAATGTTATTTGTCATATGTTATAGTTAGTTATTATCAATGCGTGTGTTAATATCCGGGCAGCCGCCAGTTAGAGGTCGTGCTAATTAAATACGAATCTCAAGACAATACGCTGAGATTTCAGTAGTGATTCCACACTAGGCGCATTTTATATAGTGTATAAAATAATTTTCAACATGCATATGTAACACATTAATAATATTGAAATTTGACATAAACATAACATAAACCCCTTTTCAAGAAATTTTAAGATAACGCAAGAAAAATCGTAACAGAAATATTTAAGCGGCGGCCATTTTTATAATCTTTTCTAGACGACCGTTATATAATAAGCGTAGAAAACTCATATAAACAAATAGACTCGAATGTTTAAATGTACACACAAAACACATACTGTGATTTATCCATCTACTCTAAACTAGAGGAAGTTATAATTTATGAAGGGAGTTCCGGCCCTCGCCTTCGGGTTCGACTAGACGTAACACACCTAATATATAATGCAAAACGTCTGAGATCACCTTTACACTAACATCTACTTAACGAAGGAAATTACTTAGACTTTAAACCGATGCTTATAAGTTATAGTTATTTGAGATCAAGCTCCTTGTCGCTATGTAATGTAGCGTTATGTTTAACAAGTAAATATAATGATTCCGAGTTTTTTTTAAATGTATGCCTAGATGTAGATGTAGTACTTAGTATGATATATGAACAAATATAGTAAGAAGGTATTTGCTTAATATCTGCTTACAAAACCATACAGAATACTTCAACAGTAAAGGTTCGTTAATTCCTTGTTGGATTATTAAAAAATTTATAATTTCCACAGAACATAAAAAGGTTGTAATTATTATACTTATATGTTTAAATTAAAATTAATTACTAACAAAGACTATACATTTAATTAATTAATAGAAAAATTTTAAGGTGATAACATTCTGTAACTCTTTTACATTATTATCGCAAATAAATATATACTTAAATAAAACACGGAATAAATTTAAAATAACATTATTTATTTTACCTAAAGCCAAAAAAGAAAGTGGAATTACTGAGAAAAGCACCTACAAATTATTAAAAATTATAACCCAAATGCTTATATTATTTTCAATTAGTAATGGAATATTAGCTTGTAAAAAGTATACACAAAAATAAACTATTTTAATTTGAAAAATTTAATAGTCGATGATATAAGCAATAATTTTTGTATTAAGTTTCATTAAATTCAAGAAATATTTGTACCAATAATTGTGAGAAATATTTTGCTATTTAAAAAAAGCCTTTGTCTTCAATGTTTTAGATTAACTTGCTTCATTTTAAATAGATTTTAAAACTTTAGGACGTAAACAATTATTTATGACAAATATTAATTTATAAAAAGTTTTCTCACCCATGTATAAATAAAACAAAAAATTGAAGGTGAAGTCATTTCAAAGTAATAATAAAAACGCCATGGGGATGGCTTTCGAAGAACCTACTCCTTTATCAATTTAAAAATATAACCTATACTAATCGGATTCAACTAGACACAAACACTATACACTGCTTAAAAAGAAATAATCAATGAAATCTTCTAAATGTTGTTTCTGTTATTTTATTTTATTTATTTTTACATTATCAATGGGCCTAAAAGAAAGACGGTCACCGTGCATGTGCGCTATTGCACCTGTTCCTTTATTTTTAAACCAAAAAAGTGTCGGACAAATCCTGAAGTTATATGGATTTTTTATCGAGTAACATGTTTTTTAAAACTTAACTAGGATGCTAACATTTTTAACTGAATTTTAAGATTTTTTTTAAGTCTAGATAAAGATCTAAAACTCTTAATCCAGAGACATCTATCGATATATCACAACTAACTATGGGCCCATTACCCATCCTGTATTACATATTATCCAGTCTTGCGTTATTTCGTAGTACACAGTCTAACAACTAGATGGCACTATCAACAATTGTTTTCATAAATAATAATATTAAAACTCCCACGCTACTGTCCGCAAACATATAACTAAATGAAATATGTACTAATATTTTTATTAATATCATATCATAATAACATTAGATTTAAATATCAATAAAAAAAGAGGTCATCAAAATTCCGAAGCAGCTTTTAGTTCTCATTGCGTTGTTTTTCATAAAAGGCACTTCTTTATCGCCGGTGTATGCCGATATTTTAGTGTAAACTCCTGGTTGCTCACCACACACTCCACCCCATGCTACTACACCCACTAGAACACCATAACACACCAATGGTCCACCTGAATCACCCTGCAGTTTCACATAAAATGGAATAACATTCCTATATGGTATGTAGGTATGTATTTAAACAAAAAATATGCCAATATGAAAGTCGCTTAAGACAACTTTCGTTTAAAAAAAATAATGTTAAAGAACACATTGCGATCTAAATGTTAATGAGGCTTTGTATTCATCACGAATTCTATAAAAAGTATGAGCTATGATAATGCTGTAGCAATGTTGTAAAAAAACGATTCTCATCGAACCAAGATAAGCCAAACCTGACAACTATCTTTCCCAGACGAACCAGCACAAAGACTAGATGGATGCAAATATTCTTCATAGTAAAATATTTTACATGCATCCATAGAGACAATTGGTACGCACACCGCATTCAGTCTGGGAGAGGCTTTTGACTGTAATCAAAGAAAACTATATTTTTTAAGTTTGATAGAAAATGCTACGGAATTCTTTGTTAAAAATTTATAAAAGTCTTGATTAAGAGTACCCTCATTGCGAAATAAGGGCTTATTAATACAATTGAAGTATTAAATTACATTTTCCTTGAGACCAAATCCGGTTACAGAGCATTGTAAACCTTTCTCGATCTTTTTATCTCTTTTCAAATCATACAATCGAATTGGCTTCACCGTGTCTGTTATCACAAAAGGACTAACAACCTGGACAACAAAAAAACACTGTAAATACAAAAAACAATATTCATAATTGTTTTCGAATTATGCTTTTATGGATCATTTAAATTGGTTTGTCGAAACAAATAAAAATATGTTCTAAGACTACATGATGGAATGTTAATTTATTTTTAGTATGTATGTACTTATGTGTTTCTTTTTTTATTTAAAAAAAAAAAACAAATATAATAAAAAACGTAATATACACTTTAGTTTCTAATATGAACTCCTTCTAAGAAGAATATTTATAATAATTGAAAAGTCTGGCAAGTCAACCAATACAAATACGTGTTAAAACAGCATTTTAGATAAAAAAAAATTATGTCAAAGGTGGCAAACGAGCAGACGGCCTACTTGATGGGCAGTAGTGACCGTCGGCCATGGACATCCGCAACATACATATGTAGATGTTACGAATGCGTTGCCAACCTTGATTATAGAGGAAAAGGGAGAGATGGGATTAGGGAAATAGCAGGAAAGCGAGGGAATAGGGAAAAGGCAAGTTAGTTATTCTGTACTTTTTTTTATCAACCTACATACTAACATATTGACATCTTCGTATTACTTAAATAAAACTCATATTTTTCGGATATACTATGCGGTTTATTTTTGTAGGTTTTGCACGTTCACGGTTGGTGAAAAGTATCTGAAACGTCGGGGTTATGTTGTTTTTTCACAAACTAAATCACATAGTATATCCGAAAACTATAAGTTTCATTTAAATGAATAAAACTTGTGAAAATCTTAGATCTAAATAAGTGATCTTCATATTACCTCTACAATAGCAAAGTCGTGTTCGAATAATTTCGAATCATAGAACTTGTGTTTGTAAACATTTTTGATTTTGCGCCATTGTTCGCCTTTCGTTGATTGAAGCATCGTGGTCGTCGTCTTCATAGTACCGGCAACTACCCTTCGTATAGAAAGTTTTTTAAAGTGTCCTTTACTGTAAAATATTAATTCTTAATAAATTATGATAATTCAGATATCCCACAATAAAATGGATGACTTAGTTTTGAGTAGAATTATTTTAAACTACTGAATTTATCAAATATTCCAAACTGATGGTATATTTCAAAGTTTCACTGTACTATTTACGAGTATTTAGCACTAGATAGCCTTATCTACCGAAACATTTATAATTCAACGGTTTTAATTCATAAATCTTTTGACATATTCGTATTGTCAACAATTTAGATATTCAGTCCACGTTACAAGGTCGTTCAAGTGGGGTCGATAGTTTGTTGTACATACTCGTATTATTATTTAAAAAAAAACGTATGCAATGTTTCATACAATACGCCACACTCACGGATCAACAAAGCAATGTGCTGCAGTAACCACATACGTCATTGTTATAAGAGAACCACCACAGAATGCTGACCAAATTAAGCCATATAAAATATGTTTCCGTATTGCAACCTGAAATTCAAACGAGCAGTGAAACGAATTAACACACTTTAACTGGTTTTTTTTTAATTCTATCTTATTATACATATATATTATATAATATTAAGTTCGCCAAGTTATATTTTTATATATATACAGAGCTTTAAATGATGACAAAAAAATCTAAGCTTACAAATATATTAAAAACAGCGTTGCACAAAAACGAATTATTATCTACATTAAAATAATATAGTAACACAACTAAACAGCAGTTTAAAACATCACATACTGCCCATTCAGACGTTGACATATACGCTTATGACATCATAAGACTTACTTGGTAAGGGGCTTCTGTTATATTTATTTCTTGTCCTCCTAAAATTTTAAGTGGGCATCTGTCCATATAAGCGTCAACCTTACTATTTTCCTCTAAAATTAACTAAAATTACAAAAAATTACAAAAGCTCTCTGGGGACGACTCTCTGAATCTACTGAAGTAAACTTACACTGAAATTGAAAGTGTTTTCTTCTTCTTCAACAAAAGGTACAAATTGGCTGATAGTTTTTCTCGTTATGACTTCAAAACACATTATTAAGGTAAAGAAATATTTTAAACATTTCATTAATAAAACTTTTAATCTGTCACGTTTTTAAATTTTATCCTCCAAAGTATTTTGACACTGACTCAAGAAAATATCTTCAGATTCTGTCACTGTAGCTGAATTATTTGTTTGTGTAGGAGTTTAACATGATATCTACATACTCTAAGAGCTTGATACTTTTTAATGTACTTGAATAATCTCTTAGTAATAAATAACTAAGTAGAGAATATTTTGTAAAATAATAGTCAAAAAGTAAAGTATCCAATAATATTTTTAGAAGGACAAAGTTCGAAATTCTAATGCAAAAAATCGGGCTCTATTAAAAATAAGGATGATGAAAAGTAATTATAGAATAAACCAGAAATTATCCTACAAACAATATCGATATATTTGTTTTATTTAAATTTCAATTATTTATTTTAATAAAATATGTAAATATCTTCAGTCCTGTTATCCTCTTTACTAAATAAAAAGACAGAAGTTTGATGGAAACCAGTTGTCATTTTCAAAATTTGTTTGTAATACCATCAATGTTTACAAGAAATATTTTTTTATATTTTTTAATTTACATATCTTCATGTTTAGCGTTTTCACCTAATGAAACTGATGATGACGTAGAGTATGTTCCACGTGTCGTGAATGGTTATCCAGCAAAACTAGGAGATGTACCGTATCAGGTATATATGTTAATGTTGTTTCACTCACTTATATCCATCCTTATTATTCAGCAATACAGGAATGAGTTAATTTGTCTTGGATTACAACTTGACAATTTTAAAAATACATCAATTGTCCCGTAATTTAATTTATCATGCTTATTGTCAAATGCCTTAAAATAACAGCATATTTGAATAATGTATGAATGTTTCGCAACTTTTAGGTTGCCTTCAAAGCACTGATTCAAAGACCCAGACTTTACAAAACTTTTTGTGGGGGCGTCATCATGGCACCAAAGAAATTGCTCTCTGCAGCTCACTGTTTTGTTGACAATGCAAATTTTTGGCAGAAAATATTTTGTAGCAGCGGGTAAATTTTTTCACTTTTTTATAATCAATTGACCTCAAGTCATGTAGACACTCATACTTGCACATGAGGCGAAAGTTTCCAACCTGATGAATTTCTTGCCAACTTCGAACTCTTTGTATTTGTAAAAAAAAACTTTATTTTTCGAGATATATATTATACATTTCAGAAACCAAAAGTCTTTGTCGAACAAGGCTGCTGTAGCAGGCAATTTAAGAAATGTAGATTACTACCCACGTAAACAATCAGATGCAACAGGCCAGTGGAGAAAATTAAGAAAAATAGTCTATCCATGGACCTATAAATTTCCTAAAGATGATATTGCTATTGTGGTAAAAGACTTCTACACTAAGTTTAATTTGAACGTCTTAAAAAGCAACAATTATAGGCTTCTAATTTTTCAAATACTTTCGATATTTTTTCATAGTTCATACGTGCTCCGTTTATCTACAACAGCTTTGTAAACTATATACCTATAGCAAGAAAAACAGTTGACTACCATGGAAAGTGCCTGGTGTCCGGATATGGCCGTATATCCGAAAAGGTCTTCAACCAGTCATAAAATCATTTGTTTATTCAAACATCGTTAAAGGCTTTAGTTTGTAACTTGTAAATTTAATAATAAATTAATAAGATAGGCTAGTTAGTACTAGCAATGCAATGCTATTAAATTAGATAATGTTCCAAATACTCAAATCTCAAACTTTTAATACAGGCATAGAAGTAAAAGTCACATATATATGTATTTTTTTATTTTCACGTAAACTAATTTTATATAAGTATTCTTATATAGATTTTAGTATAGACATACACATATTTTTGAACATTATAAAATTATCTACAAAAGTGTTTTTTTGACTTTTTCTCTTAACAAAACCTTTCCTGAAATACAGCGATTTAAACCTTAGATGTATGTATATATAAAAAAGTGTGTGTGTGGTTATGTCAAAGTTTTTGTATATTTGCTTATCTACTACTGATAATATTTATATTTGATAACAAATTTCTATCAATATTTTCGTTTAGGACTCGTCGGATATACTTCTATTAGCCCACTTAGATCTTGTCCCAATGAAGGCGTGTAACAGAAAGCACCGGCAGAATATGCGAAGATTCGTTTGCACGTCCAGTTTATTCACAGATGTTGGAAAGGTAAATATTAAATCTCTCAATGGAAGATCTTAATCCTTCGATGAATTAAAATTTTAAGAAATTAAAGTATTAACTTACTGCAAAATTTATTCAAATAAATATTATGTCTACAGGGTGATTCTGGTGGACCCTTGGTGTGTGCAAACACTGGTGACCCAAATGAAGAGCCTGGGAAAGGTGTTCTTGTGGGTGTAGTGAGTGGGCATCGGTACGGAGCAGGCTCTTTCTTTACTAGAGTCTCATCTTACTACAAATACGTTAAAAGGAACAATTCGAATAAACTAAACCTCAAAATCAGCGTTGTTATAATAATACAAACAAGAATTTTGCTATTTTGATTTCGTTTTTTTTTTTAATTCCAATGTTTTGAAATATTACAAAAAATAATATTAAAAATCTAAGACAGTATAGAAACAGAATTAGGCTTATATCTGATTATCTATGAGCCATTGATGGTAACAAAGAAGAAAATCCCATGTTACTGAGTGAATCTACACCGGCTAACTTTTTAATTTTTGATGAACTTCTTTCAACTGGTATATATTTATGAATAAACGAAATATAATCTTTATCAGTAAAGTATACTTTACCAGTGAGTAGAACTTAGTTGTATCATATGGTATTAACATAATATACTCAATAAACTTGTTATCAATGTATTTATTGTTCTGAAGCAGTTCGCGAGTTGTATACTTAATAATTCTTTTTATCATTTAAGACAGACCATTTCTTAAGTAAAAGAGGACGCAATAAATGTTGAATATAGCATATTAAAAGAACAAATATAATTTAGGATATCTAGTGGATTTTACGAAAAGTACGTCCAGACTTTTAATGAAATTGCAAAACAACTCTTTAAATTTGATGATATTTATAAAATTGCTTATGCCACGTTCTGATTCTCTTCTTCGTGTTCCTTTAGAATTGTGTCCTTCTGGGCACCTCTCGAGTTTTAGGCTACAAAGTTATCTATATATTATTTATTTATTTTTTATTTTATTTTTTATGTTATAGGTGGCAAGCGAGCAGACGGCCCACTTGATGGTCAGTAGTGACCGCCGCCCATGGACATCCGCAACATAGATGTTGCGGATGCGTTGCCAACCTTACTTGTGGAGGAAAAGGGAGGGGTGGGAATAAGGAAATACAAGGAAAGGTTGGGAACAGGGAAAGGGCAATCGGCTCTCTCACTCATCGGACGAAACGCAGTCATTACTGACTACTTCACGCCGATCTTCTGTGAGAGGGTGGTACTTCCCCGGTCGAGCCAGCCCATGTTCGAGCTATAGTAACTAAACTACAGCTAGGCTCTACCACCTAAAAAAAATTTTTCGACCAAACAGTTGTAATATTTATCATTAAGATAATTTTGCACTGATAAGGGTAGATGAAAATTAATAAGATTAAGGTATTAAAAGTATGGATGGAGTTACATGATATATGGAATAAAATATGATCCATTTTCGATTTGCAAATTTTGGACGTATTTGTTTGATTGCGGTCTTCTTCCGAATGGGAAAAATACGTTCCCGTAACCGTAGTCTCATACCTTTTAAAACGCTTTTAACAGAAGACTGTTATGGACTGTTCGATCTATGATTTCATGATCTTCTATATCGAAATTTCAAGCTTTAAAATAAAAATACAACTTCAGCACCATTTTATCGGTTTTAGCACATTAGCTAGAAACATATCCTTTTTAAAAAATGATAGCCTTTTGTGATTTTTTTTAGAGAATGTGGAGCAATAAATGCGTTAATGAGATCTAAGACTTTCGAGAGTTTTCATATAAATGTCATTGGTTTTCAATAAATCTGTTCTTATAAGCTTGTCTACTTCCATCTATTTAAAACCGGCATGAACTTCCTAGATTACATATTAATAGAACATAAAATAAAACGACGTTTTAATAATTAAGACTTACCGATCTTGATATAAAGCTATAAGCAATTACAGCATATACATATTATAGTTATAAAATTACCACCTTAGAATACTGACCAAGTTTACCTATTCTTAGGTCTAAGATTAAAATATGTAAGAAAATTTTGTATTTTTACTCTTAATAGTCAAAGCCAGGGGCTAAATTTAAAAGAAAGTATCCTCTTGCTAAATATTACTACGACCTGCTAGATCTTTCGTAACATATCCTTTGTATTTTTTTATTTACACAATGTTTTCTTTATCTTCTACAAAAGGAACAGAATTTATTAATTTTTTATATTTCAAAATTCAGAATAAAGGAAAATAATAAATTTATTAGTGTCAGAAAAAATCTAATGTCAAGGGATTTTGACAGTTAGTCGAATATTTCATATCTTCGGATTCTGTCACTATAGCTGTTGGTATATTACACATATAGAGCATAAATCATATCCAAAATTAATTTTACCATTGCACAAACACACAACAACAGTAAATATATTTAAAAACTCCTGCTAAGTATACTACCCAACTTATTTATTATATCAATATAGTCACAGTGACACTTACCTTGGCTGATTTTTGACATAAATTCCATAGAAATTACGAAAATTTCTGTGTTCTTTTTTTAAATAACATTTTTCATATGATTAGGTTATGCTATCTTTAGTTTAAGTTTAACGGAGCTGTCAGTTCGTACAATGTTTGCAAGGAATCATATATTCTATCTTTTCATTCACATATCCTTAGCTATATCGATTCAAACGAACATCTCCGATAAGGACGTCGAGTACGTTCCTCGTGTCATCAACGGTTATCCGGCAAAATTGGGTGATGCACCCTATCAGGTATTTCAGTATTTTTTCGAATCTCATATGTCCACGAGTAATATATTTTAAAAAGAAAAAATATTTTGGGTATAAACTATCGTAGATTCAGCACCACTTGACTTATTATTGCAAATTAGTTGAAATATAACTTTACATAAATACATAACCTATATTTCGATTATTATGCGAAGATTCGTTGGTACGTCTAGTTTATTCACAGATGTTGGAAAGGTAAATATTAAATCTCTCAATGGAAGATCTTAATCCTTCGATAAATTAAAATTTTAAGAAATTAAAGTTTTCAAAATAAATATACTAATAATATAGTTTTATTTAAATGTTGTAATGTTATCAAATTTATTTTTATATACTTGAAAATAACATTTAATACAATCTTTTAAGCTGATGTAACTTCTAGGTTGCCTTCAAATATCGGATCAGACGACCCAGACTTTTCAAAACTTTTTGTGGGGGCGTCATCATGACACCGACAAAATTGCTCTCTGCAGCTCACTGTTTTGTAACCAAGGGCAATTTTTGTCAGAGATTATTTTATAAGAACGGGTAAAAATTCTTACTTGTCAAAGATTCAAATCCATATCGACCTTCAAATTTCTTCTGACTCGTGTTGGCCATTAACAGACCAATAATCTTCTCTTATTATTAAATAAGGAAATTTATCTTTTAAGATAAACATTTTCCAGAATATTAATATCTATGAAGAATAAATTTGCTGTAGCAGGTCATTTGAAAAATGTAGATTTTCGCCCCTTTTTTGACTCGAACGAGAATGGACAGTGGAGAAGATTAAGAGGAGCCACATATCCATCGACCTATAAATTCCCCAACGATGATATTGCTATTGTGGTAATAAAATATTTTTTGAAAGCTTATAGAACCCACAGCTATTTGTTTATACTTATATTGTTTACAGTTCCTTAGTTCTCCATTTAAGTTCAATAACTTCGTTAACTATATACCTATTGCAAGTAAATTAGTTGATTACAGCGGTAAATGCATGGTGTCCGGATTTGGACGCGTATCCCAAAAGGTATGTAAAAATTAATATATCCATATTTGATTCTATAAATTATATTTAAAAAAATCTTACTTATAAATCTTATAAATTATATTATAAATTGAGAAGATGAATTTATTACCACTAACCTTTGTCTAAATGACGACTTTGGATAAATATATTGTTGTAGAAAACATCTGATAAACTCCTTTTGGCGGAGCTAGAACTAATAGACATGAAAGAGTGTGACAGAAAGCACCGAAGAAATATGAGAAAATTCATTTGCACGTCCACTATAGTGGCAGATGTTGATAAGGTAATGAAACTATTTGCTCAAAGGACTACTTAAATGCTAAAATGAAATTTAATCTCATTTAAAGAAATAATAATTTGTAAATTAATTAGCTGACAGACTCGCTCTAATCCAGTTTTTTGTCGTTTGAACTTCTGCAAAGGATAATAATTTCTACTTTCTTTAGGGTGATTCTGGTGGACCCTTGGTGTGTACAAACACTGGTGATCCAAACGAAGAGTTAGGTAAAGGACTTCTTATCGGTATAGTGAGTGGAAATCGGTACGGAGCCGGCACATTTTTAGCTCGAGTCTCATCTTACTACCAATATATTTTGGAAACCAACAAATCGAACAGATTTAACTCCAGAATTAGCATTGTTATATTAATACAAACAAAAATGTTCCTATTTTGATGTCGTTTTTTAAATACCATTAAAAAAAACTTAAATACTTGCTAAAACCATATAGGATCTCTATCCAATTAATTCTAACTCAGTGATAGTAAAGTCTGATTGTGACTAATAGTAATGTTACTTTCAATTACCTTATGGATGTCCAATTCCATGAAAAACTAGGCAATTTTACACAATTGACGTATGCTTGAATTGAATTGAGGAATAATGTCTAAACATTGTTCATAACATTTTCAAACGAGGTAAATCGACAACTTAAGTCGAGGACTGTCTGTAATAACTTAATCATAAGTAATCAAAATTGTAAACATCCATAACCTATAGTAACCGCTTACCATCAGGTAGGATGAATGCATCTTTTGGTCAAGTTTGAGTCCAATAGAACCAACAAAATTTTGAAAGTGGTCTATGTATCGTAAAAAATGTTTGGATATCTCTTATCAACGTCGATTGGTCTCAACATATTAGTTTAAACAATAAGAGTAAAATCAATGTAACACCATACTTATTTTAGTAGTACAGTATTCATAACTTCGGAGTGACACTTCTTTGTTTGTGGTGACTAGATCCTCTTTCCTTTCCTGTGACTATTGTTCTTTCGTAATTCTTTTTTGTTTAAAGGTAATCTAAGAATACATTTTTCTGCCCTTATTTATGACAAAAAATAAAGTAAAGCAATTCTCTATACAATGAAACTTACGAACTCAATATCGAAGTTTAACCTGTAGTTTCTACATAATACATTGAGATCTCAAGAGAACCACCACGATCACTGATGACATATTACCATCTTTAGAAACCTGCAATTTTAATTTTAAAACTCATTAAACTATGGGAGATTTTAGCTAAAAAGTTGTATCATTAAAGGTTTTCTATATTTTTAGAATAACTAGACACTGAAAATAAAATTAAAACAATTTTCACCTCTTTAAAGCTGTCTAAAATTATGTTAGGTACATTTTATAAACAAAAAAATATTGAATATTTAAAACCATGCATGAAACACTTTTTTTAAATCTTAAATTCCATTTTGCAACAGTTAGTCTAAATTTAAATGTAAGAAATCGACATCAAGAGATGTTTATTTTAAATCTTAACTAAACAAAATTTCCTGAAACGTTTTTGAAACTCTTCCCGAAGTATTTTGACAATTATAAGTATCTTCTAATTTGTCTTCTGATTCTGTCACTGTAACTGAAATATTTTGTGTATAAAGGTGTTATAGGAAATTGATTCACAAAACTTTTGTCCAAACAAAGTATTTGGAAAAAGTTAGTCGTGTTTTTGGGCTAATTACATTAAAATGCTGCATATGTTTTAGTATATTTTTTTAAATAAACATTCTTCTTTATTATTGCTCTGTTATTATTTTTTATTTAATTTATACTAAACTGTCAATTGTATAAAATCAATGTTTACAATAATTAATTTATTGTATTTTATTATTTATATTTCCTCAACTTTATCGTTTCAAAGTAATGTTTCTAATGATGAAGTAGAGTACGTTCCACGTGTCGTGAATGGTTATCCAGCAAAACTAGGTGATGTACCCTATCAGGTAATTGAGTCATTATTTTATTGAATGAAATTTATTTTGGACCCTAATGTATTCATGAGTAATATGCATTTAAAAAATATATAATTTTCGGATTTAACTTCTGATTCTGTGACACTTGCATTAAGTTTTCACTAGTATTTCATAATTATATGTATATACATATATTCCTCGTCGATCTAGACTCGATAATAATTACATACAATAAATCTTTAATCCCTTTGCTATTCAATTGATTCAAATGTATTAAATTTTATATATTCTTTGAAATAATCATAAATTTCAGGTTGCTTTCAAAGCAATACTTCAACGGCCTAGTCTTTGCAAAACCTTTTGTGGAGGTGTTATTATGACACCAACTAAGTTGCTTTCTGCAGCTCATTGTTTTGTGGATAAAGGCAATATTTGTCAAAGACTATTATATGGCACAGGGTAATTTTAGTTATTAATGACAAGCCGATCATCATACTTGCAATTACAGAAATCAGTCTGATGATTAGTTAACTGGACTTCATAAATCAATTTATTTACGAAGACATACATTTTTCAGATCCTTAAAATCCTTAATGAACAAGTATGCCGTAGCAGGCAATTTAAAAAACATAGATATTCACCCTTCTGTAGACTCGATTAATGATGGACAATGGAGAAAATTAAAACGAGTTGTTTACCCAAAAACCTATAAATTCCCCAAAGATGATATTGCTGTAGTGGTAGTAAAAAACTTTTGTAATATCTTTATAAAATCTGTGACTAGAAAATTAAGAACATTAATCATGGATTTCTATACATTTTTTATAGTTCATACGTGCTCCGTTTATCTACAACAGCTTTGTAAACTATATACCTATAGCAATGAGATTAGCTGACTACCACGGAGAATGTTTGGTGTCCGGATTTGGACGCATTTCCGAAAAGGTCTGCAACTAGTAATATTTAAAACACTTAACTACATATAAAACTTGTATTATATATAATAAAATTGTAACTTTAGTTACAATTACAAATTTATTAATAAATAGGCTACATCGGATAAACTTCTATTGGCGAAATTAAAACTTATGCCAATGGCAGTGTGTAACAGAAGGCACAAAAAGAATATGAGACGATTCGTTTGTACCTCTAGTCAAGTGACGGATGTTGGAAAGGTAATGGCTGTTTTTCTAAATAAATTATTCTTATACTTCCAATTTATTTACATACCATTCAAAGAGACAATTTCTCTTATGATAAACAGTTTTATGACTATCCCAAATGAAAGTTTTTTTTCTGTCTGAACTTTAACATTGGATACGAGGTTTAAATATGTATTATTAGGGTGATTCTGGTGGACCCTTGGTGTGTGCAAAAACTGGTGATCCAAATGAGCAGCCTGGGAAAGGAGTTCTTGTCGGTATAGTGAGTGGACATCGGTACGGAGCAGGCTCATTCTTTACCCGAGTCTCATCTTACTACAACTATATACAATATAGCAGCTATATTAGCAAATCGAAAAGATTACTCTCTAAAGTTAGCATTGTTATAATAATACAAACAATGATATTGCTGTTTTGATTTCGTTTTTTTTTTATTTCAGTTTAAAAAAAAAATACTATAATGTAAGTTAAGATAACATAGGAACTCATTTTGGCATTTGTCTGATTATCTGTGACCCATTGATAGTACAGGCCAATCCTGTTATGTAAAGAAGGAAGTCCTATGTTAATGAGTGATGTTACACCAACTAAGACTCCCAAATGTGGGTCTTCTAATGGATCTTCAGTTCCATGACAAATCAGCCCACCGCCTTCAGCTTCCTATAAATTATTATATAATCAGTTTATTGACACCAAACAAAAAGCCAGTTGTAGATGAAATCAAATCAATATCTTCATGGCATAAACAAGATTCAAATAGATTTGTTGATTAGAATGAAAAATTAAGAGGAAAATTAACTTACAGTTGAAGTCAACTTCATAATATCGTATTTAGTGCAATAATAGAGATCACAATTTCTTAATAATCTGTGCTCGCAACCAATTTTCTCGATAATTGTTAAGGGGACCTTATGTAGTGTCTTTGATTGCGACCAACTCTTAAGTAAAAGAAACAAGGGATTATTATAATACTAATTTCCTATAGACAAACGCTAAATTCTTAGAAAACATCTACCGTTGTAGATTTCAAGGCTATGCCAGTACAAACACCATCAAAATTCTGGTTCCATTTAGTGTACGGAATTTTATTAACAATATCGTTCATTACCCAAGGTGAATCTACTTCCTAAAAGCAAAAATATACATAAATTGCCCAAATATATCACTATGGTATTAAACTCACTTCTAAAACTTACAACAACAGCCAAATTATACGCAGGGAATCTATAAAACCTCTGAGTATAAACATGTTCGATGGATCTCCATTGCTGAGTTCCATCTGATATCGGTTGCGACGCCAAAGTGGTCAAGAGACCAGCCGCTATTCTCAATTTATGGAAGTTACGTTTTTTCCTGTAACATAAATCATTGACATTAAAAATTGTGTATTAATATTCGATTAATATAGTTCGTACCTTTTTCTATTTGTAAGAAAACAGTGTGTAGATGTAAGCACCCTTCTTTCACTAATAATACTTCCTGAGCAAAAAGCTTTATATATTAACTTCCATTTATTGTGAAGATAACAAATAAATACCTACGCAAACAAAAATAAAAATTTGATAAATTTGAAAGACTACAATGATAATATGTAAGTAAATATTTAAAAAAAATGTAACATGATGTTTTAATTCGCCCAAATCCACTTCCCTGGGTCCATGTACCGATTTTCTTCTCACATACTGTAACAAATATTAATAAGTATGGAATTTAAACAACTCATGGCTCCCTCTGATGTAAATTACATTAAAACATATGATAATATGATTATCCTACTAGCAATACTAGCAGTAATCTATGTTAAAATTATAATACCTCTAAGGGCTGATTTAATACGACCAAACCTTCAGCTATATATAAAAAACAAAATATTACTATTAAGTAAATAATCGTTTCTAAAGACGTTTTGCTTTAAAAAAATAAATATTTTCGCAGAATTATACAAATTGCCAAATTTTTGATCACATAAAATTCAATACATTTGACAGCGTGATGTCAGATTGTTTCTTAGCATCAATCTACAATACATGACATGTTTAATCTGTTTCCATTTATAAAAAAAAGTTTGGCCCACTCTAAATGTGAAGAATTTAAGATCGAAGTTAAGTTCTTAAAGCCAGTTTCTATTCATTGATAAATCGTGCAGCTAAAGTTGAATGTGTCGTTTGAGACTGCTACTTGTATTACTGTACTGGTTTTTACTCAGTACCACAGACTGTCTGTGACCGGCCGGTATGGAGGACGTATTCACGCTCATCGTTTTAACACGTGAGTTGTTATTATAATTAACAATGTACCTTATTACGTTTGTCATAGAGTTTGTAATATTTTGTTTAAATTGTTGGTATACCGTTGCAACATTATTCATTGAACCGTTTTATGTGCCATTGGTACTTAATAGTGTCTATGAACGATTGTGTAACTTTCACCCGTTATATTTTATTGTTATATGTAAACAAAAAAATTTAACTTGCTCCATATCTCTTTTGGAATCCGTTATAGTTCTACCTAAATATTGTATGCACACGAAAGTTATACAGCGTTATAAAATTAATTTGTGAAGTAGTAGGTGTAAGATAACAATTATTGTTCCAGACAGCAGTGTAAATATTTCTTTTATTCAGCTTAGGAAAAAATAGAGTAAACTTTTGCTAGGCACGAAATTTTGTCCATAAAAATACAAACAGAGTGTAAAATTGTAACTGTGTCAATTCTTTCAATCAAATATCAAATAATTATATTTGAGCTGTTTTCTCTGCTTTGGTAAATGTTGTCTATTAGGTACAGGTAATGATTTCAACCAAGTTAAATATTTGTTTGTCTGTGATATTTCGTTATTTCCAGTTATATAGCAGTTTAATTCTCTTTGTCTGGCTATGCAGACAAATCTCTGAAACTAGTAAGAGCACACCCTTTCCGATTGTTCCGATTTTCTCCTAGGAAAACTTCACTCATAATGAACCTTGATGAACTTATCATGTAAGCCATACAGTATCTTTTTCTTTAAATAGTTTTGAAGAAAGAAATTTTCCAAACAGCGCTGTTTATTAGCGCCGTTTATTATCTAGGTTCATAAAGATTTTATTTGAAAGAAGAAAATTATTTACTTCTAAGCAGTATTTAATAAACCTTATTGCAAGTGGACGAAATCTCGTTAAACAACAAACTAGTAATATCTTGTGTTTATTAGAATTCGTGTTTTTTTTATTAGACACACCCACAACCACAACCACATACATATTTTAATAAATTAGCGTAATTAATGCATTGCATAAACATTACATAGTTTTTCTTATATTTCTCACATTGTAATTTGTACAAAAAGAGATACAAAAAACTGGACTTTCTAGAAACAGCTAAATATTTACAAAGTAAATCATGCCAAAGAAAATTCGATTACTTAAGAAATAGGATTGTTATATAATCGACATAATATATTATACTCTATATTCTATACCTTGTCAGTTGTCATAGTTCTTGTTTTCAATGTTTATAATAGAAAACTGTAATTTTCTGTTATCGTATCCTTTTTCCCTTGGTTTCGATAATTACCTACAATAAATATACCAGCAAGAGCCGGTATATTGTAATAACGATTTCTTAACCATATAAAATCGTTTTTGTTATTAAACGTTACGTAAAATTTAAACATTTGATGAAAATTATCGTTATTCTAATTACTAAGCATTATTTTTGCTGAAATTCACGAATTCCATACATCTCTTGATTAGAAAAGATAACTTTTGCGTTAAATAAGACACATACTGAATGTATGTATAAATCAATTCATAAGTGATATAGCACTTATGAGTTATGACTGGTTGTTGAAAAATGTTAGATACTTATACATATATGCCTAGAATTAGGTATATCTTTAATTTATAAAATAAATATTTTCCGGGACTCTTGCATTTTATCATATTACATATTATAAATAATAAAGTTATTTCTCTAAAAGTTTTTAAGGGTAGGTTTATTTATTCGAGTTTAGTACAAAATATGTATAATCGTATTTTGGTAAAGTTTTTGTGTAACGTCTAAAATACGGTTTTTAGCTTTTATTGGATATAAACTTAGATTTCTCTGAAAACAAAATTAAAATACCTAAGTTTTGAGAAAATATTTTGTACACATTATTTAGACAGTAAATTCCATTATTGTAACTAGCTCATGTATTTACACTTATAGACACATGCTAAGACATTTTATTTAAAGTTTTTGAGAAATAAAAATAACATACATTTGTTATTCCTTTTTCGTTGACGAATCTTATAAGAAACAAAAATACTTTACCATACATATAGTATCTAATCTAATTAATTAGTAGATATTAAATACATATATAATAAAAAAGAATACAATACAATCGTGTTGAAAATTTACGTTTCAAAGACGCTCTGGACTCGTTATTTCCGCACTGATTGGGAAGTTGCAAAAATTATTTAGCGCTATTAAATCAGGTTATCACAATGTAACGATGGATACATACGTCAAATAATTGTATATAGAAACTGAACTGATGTTAACAATTATTAGAAAGAAATTATTTTAAAAATATTTTCACGGATCAGTTATCAATTAAAAATTATGTTAATTCCATTGTTTGTATTATATTTGAAGCCTTTTTTCTTACTATTATATGCGAGATACTTTAATATTGTAATTTACCCAATGACCGCTTACGAGTCCCCTACTGACTATTAAGCTATGGTAGTATACCTAACTACAATATGAAATGAAAATATTCATACTGTTACTTCAATTCTAATATTTAACAGTATTTCTAGAAATTAAAAAGGAAAACAGTCAGGCAATTAGAGAGCTGGAAGAAATAAATAATTTTTCAAAATGTTGTAACCTATATTTCTATGATAAATGAAATATTATTTCTTTCTTTGTACTATATTTTTATGAATACATATTATAGTTTATCAGTAACATTATAAGCAAAACGGCGTTTCTAAAAATATACTTTAATAATACATAATTATAATAGGTAACATAAAGGATTGCATTGAATATTAATCAACAAAATTAATATTAACTTGAAGCTTGCATGTGGTTTTCGAGGAAATATATTTTTATGTTTTCGATATTAATTCTAGATTGCCGCTACCAGAAATTTCTTAGAATAAAGGTTTTGACGGATCAACAAACAGACAACTGTAATATAAGAATGAGCGTTACTTTAAAATTTTTGATCCCTAAATTACATTGCGTATACCTGATAAATTTTAATTTAAAAGCACCCTACTTGGTTTATAAGTACCTATTGATTTATCGTTTTATTAGCTCCCTGTGTGGAAAGTTTCTCAATTGTACGACCTAAACTGTAACCAGCACTATACATTTCATTTTAGAAACTCTTAAAGAATATTATGATTTTCTAACCTATGATTTCGGGCTTAACTTAATTTGGGATATCAAAATTATTAAAATTTCAAAAAAACTATGGAGGAATAAATAACCTTCTCCTTTTGAAGTCGGTTAAAAAAAACACTTATATGTAAGTATCACTGTGTTCTCGATATATGATCTACCTGCCTACTGAACGTTTATGTAGGATGTAGGTATATAACCTTATAAGCAAAACAGTTAGCTTACTTACCGACTATAGGTAGTACTCAAGAGGCTGGTCAAGTTATTCCTCGGTAAACACAACATTTACATATTTATTGCGATACGTCTGGAACTCATTTTAATGAACTCTATTGTTTGAGGGTAAAAAATATCAATACAAATTTAATATATGACTAGAACCAGAAAAAAAAATTGCACACATTAGTTATAATAACAAGTATTTCATCAAACAATACTAAATTACTATAAAGTAAGTTTTGTGAACATCAATGAACTACAATATACTGTCAACGAGGGATTTGACCTTAGGGAGACTGATCACAAAAAGCAAACCTTGAAAACCAGTTCCGCTGCGGAGCGAAGATCAACAAATTCACCAACATCACTTTGTTACGTGAACGCAATGTTATGCGTGACTTAAAAAAATTACAAAGAGATTAAATTAGAAAAAGTAATTTTTAGTCTGAGCTTAATTTTTTATCGGCTAATAATGAGTAATGTTTTCATGGTGGTTTCCATTCCTTTGATTATGTTATGGTTATCACAATTTTATTAGTTATAACAATAAAAACTAAACGATACAAAACATTCATTTCGATATGGGTCGGAATGAAGATGCCACAAAATATGTAAATTTAAGATACCTTTTTGTATCTTTTCAGTGTTACAACTATGTCGAGCTGAGACTTCGAAGCCGTTACCAGAGTGGTATGCGGCAAATCTTGTAAATGATGCAAATTATACGCCGAAACCCCTGACTGAGATATTCACAACTGACCTAAGCTTCACACCAAAGGACCAGTTCCCACAAACAACTCCTTTCACGACTACCACTACCACTACAACTCCAACGGTAGTCACTACCAAGTCTACAAGCGAACCTACGACTGGTGAAAATGACGATAATACGCAAATAATTCAGCAAAATATCCCGTTCGAAATTGTACAACTGTCAAAACCACAGCAACCAATAATATTCTCGCAAACAGGCAATAGGCCATCTAATACAGATCCGAAATTATTTATAATACTAAATCCAGGACAGGAATCCACTCAGAAGCCAAGTACTACAGAAAATAAGGTGGTAACAACCACTTCATCTCCGACTCAAGCACCTGAAACAGGTCAAAAACCTACTGTTTCTCCAAACGTAGCAGTACCAATCAATCTTCCAATGGCGTTTATGAATCAAATACCAATTACTTATTCAGCTGGTATTTCAAGGTTTTTTGAACCTATTGTACAGAGTACAATTTTACCACCTATTAAAATTCCCAGTCTAAATCCAGTTATAAGTGTGCGTATGAAATCTCCAAGAGGAACCATAACTAACATTCACATAAACCCAACCAGTACCCAAAAGCCGTCAACAACTCGTCGTCGAAAACCAAATCAAAGGAGGAATAACTACGATACTTGTTTAAACTCGTGCAGTGATAAACGGTCACCTATTTGCGCGAGTCCTAAAAGTGTGGTACCAATAAATCCCGATAAACTAAAAGGTTTTCCATCGCTCTGTCACATGGCTTGTCACAACTCATTCAGAAATAATGGTAAGTATTGCGCTCAAGTATTCTATTCACATCTAGTTAGATATCCAATATAAACACGCAACATTCTATTTAAGGTAAACATGAATAAGGTTAAGTAGATAAAACTAGTTGTAGACCATTATACTCTCTGCGTATTACAACGTAGTTCACTTTCTAGACTTCTTAATATTTTAATACTATTACATATTTGGTGCTCATTTTAAATAAAATATATAATTCTTATTAGTATCAATTGTTTAAATAGTAATGTTTTCAGAAGTATACGACAAAGTAAGCGATGGAAGATGTGGAAGATTGCGCACGCGCATAAGACCTATGGATAAAGACAAACTTAACAGGGAAGAGTTAAACAAAGCTCAATATACAATACTTCATAATGGTTCAGAAACTGTCATGGAATTCTCACCCTTAACCCCATGAAGTAAGACACATTTAAGTGTAAAACAATTACGTTAGTCATAACATCACATTAACTAGTCGTGTTTATAAAGACGCAGGTGTTTTATAACACAATGTCCTACACCGATGATGAAAATAATAAAATGTTTGAGAAACAATATTTTTACGTATATCTTCAAGTCTTTCTGTTATTAAAACAATTCCGTCCATATAAGACTTACTTCTTTGTTACTTAAGGATAGTAAATTAAATGATTTAATATTTAAAATACTTTTTTTTATTTCTTTATTTAGCATGGAATAGAATAGTCATATTTACACAATAAACCAGTAGTTCAGTCTAATTTTACAGGTAAGGTTAAAACGAATTGTTAAACATAATTAAATTTATTGTTACTAGGATAATTTACATAATTTATACATCATACAATATATATTTAGTAATAATTATGAACATTGGGATGAAAATTACTGAAATTATAATATATCGAATAAAGTTAATTGTATTTTGTTCTTGTTTCACAGCAAAAACTTTCTAAGTTATTATATAACCGGTACTTATATATTGATTTTTGTTATAACTGTTGGACATATGACATTTTTAAGTATAAAAAAAATTTGAAATACTATACATTTGTTTTTAGTACATTTCAAATGCTTTACTTTTATCCATAATTTTATTTCTATTCTATTTCCCAGATTGAAGGAACTGAGTCATTATCCATATCTTTGTATCTCTTATTCTAGTTTAGACATAGCGAAATTAAATTCTTATAAAATAATGAATTCTTATAAAATCACGTAAGTAAAATTCCTAGTCAGTTACATCAGCCATGACAGTCTAACAAATCTAATGTAAGATTTTCTTACAGATTTTATATTATATTTGGCTGCATGAATAAGAAACAGTTATTTTCACTACACTGAAAAAATATACGTCCTTTGTAAAACCTTCACAAAAATTTAAAAGTCGGTTAATTGTTTGGTCATGAAACCTTAAACTAAGTTTACTTAAAAGTCTATTTACAAATCAAAATCGTTGTTGGAAATTCTGTTGTTGCTGTCCCCCACCCTGTTGTCCGAACATCATTTGTTGTTGTTGATGGAATTCCTGTTGTTGATTACCCGAAGCGTTATTGCCTTGATTTGGACCTGAAATGGGGAAAATTTGATGAGTTTTTTTTAGATTTACTCCGTAATTTTAATATGTTTATTTAACTTGCAATTTGTAATATTTTAATTCAAATTCAAAGGTTTCAAAAAAGTGGAAATTCTTAATAAGTAATATAATTATTAACACTGTAATCATTTTATTTCTCTTTGTATATCTATTTATACACATAATTTTAAAACAAATTTTATCATTTTCTTAGGAATTTTACCTGACATTCTCATTCTTTTAGCATTATTTGCCGCATGGTCATGACTGTTTGCTTGAACTTGGTTTTGTTGAGTCTGAAACAGAAGAATATAATTGAAAAAAGGTTTCATATTATTAGTATTTAAAAGATTTAATTCTATCGACACTACATTTTTTTTTTTTTTGAGTTTTATATGTATTATAAATTATTTTGTTACATTTGTTTGTTGTTGTTGTTGGTTTTGTCTCGCCTTTGAGTCACTTTTATCTTCTTGGTCATCGTCTGTTAAGAATTCTCTCTTTGGATATGGTATTGGACAGCCAGCGAAAACATCCTGTGGAAACAATAAACATAAGTATATATAGCCTACATATGTATATAGGTATGTGTATTTTGACAAGTATTAATATACAGGTGCGTCATTATAAAAAATTACATAATATATTTATATATAATATTGGACCCGGCACCCGCACGGTGAATCCATGGAATGCTGAGAAGTTTCGTCTCTCTGTCGCAGAGGTACCTGGGCTACTACTTAGTAGCTTAGTAACGTCTTTGCTTTGTCACGGTAGCTGCAAAAGAACCAAAACGTAGGGATTATTTAGTTACGACTAGACATAACTTTTCAGCATTCCATGTATTCACGGTGCGAGTGCCGGATCCATTGCATTGCAGGGAGAGAAGCTTCAACAGTGCCCTGGATTCGCGACCCAGGCGTATGTTTAAAGGGCCCCTATTCTACGTGCGTTAATCGCTCACCTCCACAACGCCTAAAACTCTACTAAACACGCGTAATATCCAAAAAAGCTTAGTTTCATTTTTTGATCTTCATCTTTTGATGAACATCTTTATTTTATGAGAACCGTGTAATCACAAAATCACAAGAAAATTATGGTAGCAATCTAATGAATCACAGATGTTCTCAAACAAGTAAACTGATAGGGATTCCTTGTAAATAAATAACATAAATTCGTCATACCCCTTTTTATGCCGTATCATGTCAACTGCGAATCACATGATCTCCTCCTGACTTGAAAACTACACACATATATTTTTATTTACATAAATTAATCTGCATTGTCCTAATAATTAGTGAAACGCCAAAGCTTCGTGTTATCTATAATTAAAATAATCTACGTTTATCTAAATCGACGAACACTGACTAACTAAAATCAAATCCGAGACGTAGAGGCATCGGTTAACGGAGACATCATTTAACTAACAATTTTTACATGCTTGCAACTCATCCACATTCTGTAGTCCAACACTACGTTACGTTACACTAATGCGATATTGCCGCTAATAAACTCATAAATATAACGATCAGTAAAGTTATATTCTGCTGAAGGTGGCAAGAATAGCGATCCCCTTAGTAGAATAACTCTCGAGTAATCAAAATGCCTTACAACTTAAGAGGTAGAGGAAGACATGAAACATAATACCAATTATCGTCGTTGATAGTAACCTTCGTTATAATTTGGATTGTACTGTAGATCATAATTCGTCCAAAACCTGTCATATTGACCAGTCTGAAAATACATTAACTTCGAAATTTTATGGAAATGAACTTCGTAGACTTCTACTCGATATTATACTGTCTTATAAGTTAAAAAAACAGGGTTTATCTTTCCATCTTGGTTGCTGGCTCCAGAGTATCAAGATAAACTGGGCGTCAAAATCCGTAGCCAGTGGCAATATATAACTAGTAACCTTGAACCAGAAGATAGATATTTTTTGGGCTACACTCAAACATATGTTGGCGTAAGTTTGAATGTAATATAAGATTGAATCAAAAAATATTATCAGGATTAATATACGTTGGAACTCTTTTCTTAATGCCTACTTCTATGTAATAAATAGAACTAATGTAGATAAAGGTTTATTTTAAATCTATTTACAGTAATCTCTATTGGCAGCTGACATTTCTAATAACATACACGAATGTGCACGCTATTTAAAAGTAATACTACCACATATAAATATAAACTAATGTTAAAAAGTTATAAGAAAAAAATATATTTAAAAATTCAAATAGTTTCCTTAGATGTCATACTTTGTTAATGAAAATACTAGATTTACTTTAATATCATATAGTTAATATCACTTCAGTTCAAACTTGTTATAATTTTACAAAAATGTATTGTATACATAATAAAGCTTTAAAAGTTAGTAGATTTTACGTAATATGACAATCACATATATTGAATGAGTTATATTGAAATATATTATACATTTGTATACTTATACACTATTAAGGTAAGCTAAGCTATTATGCTAACAATTCTGCTACTGATTTTAAGCATTTTGCTTTAACATGCACTTTGCTGATAAAATAAACCTTTTAAATAACTATGTGAAATAACCAATGATGATGTGTTTAAAAAATTGTTCTTTATCATTTTAATACATAGCAAAATTATACCTATTTAATTATACCCATAAAATAATTCAACTTACTTGTGTAGGCAAAGGATCTTCAGAGAAGTATGGATCTTGCATAGCTTGCTCTGATGTTATTCGTCTATTGGGATCCATTAGAAGAAGCCGTTGTAACAGACTAAATGCCTTACTGTCAGGCTTGATTTTGTGTCTATCCATATATTTACTTAGCGAACAATTCTGGTAACTGGAATTATATATTGGTAATAAATGACTACACTTTATATGAGAATATATTTATCTATGATTGTAAATAATAAAAAGAAATGGATATGCATATTACTGGAATGTTGGAAATATATATAAAACATTACAAGTGTACTTACAATATGCACATCTTAATAATTTAAGAACTGTTTTATAATAAGTATAACACTAAAAAGTAAATAACGAGCCCTAATAGTATAGCACCTATCTAGGAACTGACAGATAGACAGAGTTTTTGAAGCAAACAAAATAAATGTATGGCAATTGTTTTAGATAATATTAACACTCCAATAGAGAATTACTACTATTATCTAACTTTAATTTACATTTAATTCTAACTACATACATACTTACTTAGACCTCTTGAAGTCTTTAACTAGAGTGGCATGTTCAGGCATTTTTCTAATATCCTCCCAATCTTTCTCTTGAGGGAATCCCATTACATTAAATATTCTGTCTAATTGATCATGATGGTATGGATTGCTTGTTTTGATATCTTCTTGACGGCAGTGAAATATAGGCTCAGAAGTAAGCAATTCAGCAAATATGCAACCAATAGCCCATATATCTGAAACATTTCATGTTAATCTGTTTTTAATATATTAGTTATTACTAATTTAGTATTAATTAATACAAAAATAGCTAATAATATTCACAATCAACAAATTGATATAATAAAAGCACTCTCCCACCTATAGCTTTAGTGTAATGTCGAGCACCAAGTAGTAACTCTGGAGCTCGGTACCAGAATGTTACCACTACAGGATCAAGATCAGCCAATGGTTTCAATGGTGCATTAAAAAGTCTTGCAAATCCCATGTCAGCTATCTTAACTCTGCCTCTCTCTGGACCTTCCCCCATAACAAGGATATTGGCCGGTTTCTGAAATAAAATTATAACTTCAAATTAGATCAATTTCATAAATAGTTAGATTAGGGACTATATTAAACTGAGATATCAGTACTATAATGTCCTTCTAATTGTAGTTTTTGCGTCTTTAAGCCTAGCATTAATACTACTACTGAGATATATAGTACATATACATATTCATTTCCATTTATCTATAGGTGGAATGATAGTAAATGCATTAAAATCTACAATACTATTCAATATTTATTGATTAGGTATTGTATCAATGGATCAATGGATTGGTTTTTTTTATTTTTGTATTAATTTGTTGTTTTAAATTAAAATACATTTACATTTCTAATAAAATTCAAGTTACAGATATTACAATTCCATAGATGTTATAAAAAACATAGTTAGGTATTGAAAACATCTGAAACCTGTTTGTTTTGTAATAAACCATTTCTTAATTTATTTGAATTGTAATTAATTGTATACAAATGATAAACAGATTTATTTTTTATGTTTGAAGATCATTTAAAAGATATTAACTAATTACATCTTTCAGTAATAACTGTTGTATTTTATAATTGATTAAATTGGTATCTATTTATATTGGTACTAGAATTAAAAAAGAAGGTAAACAACACATCAAATTGGTAACTTTTACAAAAGGAAGAATATAAGTTATCCAAACATACCAAATCTCTATGCAAAACCCAGTTTGAATGTAGATAGTGAATTCCGTCTAATATTTGATACAACAAGCTTTTGACCATTCCTTTTGGGACCATAACAGATTTTTTATTTGCTTTGGCTGCTCTGTGAAACTTTATGATGTGCCACAGGTCATGCTCTGCATAGTCAAATAATAACCAAACTTTACGATCAGTATGTGATAAAAATACTCTGATCAAATTAATAACATTTGGATGCTTCAGTTCTCTGAGTAGCTGTTGAAAGATAGATAATATTAATGTTACATTTTTATAGTTAAAAGCCAAAATAAACTGCAATGCAGAATAACATACATATATAGCAAAACTTATATTACGCTGTAGTAATTAAAATATAATATTTATGATTACCGCAATTTCACGACACGCTGACATAGAAAGACCGGTACCTTCTATTTGTTTTAAAGCATAGTCTTTCGTATCGGAACCGTCTTTTCTTCTGGCTTTGTAAACATGACCATAGGTTCCTCGGCCTACTTTACATCCTTCGTAGTCAAACAAATCCTCAACTTTGGACCGTTCATTTTGAGTTTTAATTTTAAATTCATAGTCCATCATAACAGGCGCCATAGTTTTATTGTTTTGGAAATTATCTCCCATTTTATGATCTTGGGATATCACAGTGCCGAAAGTTTTATATCAGATTTTTCAACAAAATGTTTAAAATTTAAATACACAAACGTCAGTCTTAACTAGCTTATTGACAAGTTTCTAGCTGTCTGCTGTCAACTTAACAGTTAGTAACAGTTGACATTTGTTTTTTTTACACAACACTATTAATCATTTTTGTGATCTAGTGAATGCAAAACTGAAAAATAACCTGATATATTCCATTCTGTATTGGACATTAATAAAACTATGTAAAAAAGTTGTGAAATATAATTTTACAAATGACCTCCATTAATTTGGATATTTTTAGCAACTTTCATTACGCTCAGGGGGGGTTTCAAGAAATCAAATTTGAATATTGGAAATATAAATGATATAAAGAAGAAAAACAAAACCCTAAAAATAATCATACAAGAGACTCTTCAATTTTTGTATATTTGAACTAATATATCATTCTATCAAAAGTTTTCCATTCTTATAAATAATGTTAAGTATGATCTTCTTCACACATTTCACAGTCGTTAACATTATAAGGATTATGTTGTATTTTTATTATCTAAACTAATTTCAATGTTTGTGGTTATTTTTATGTACAATGTATAAATAATTTTTTATAAAAGTGTATGCCTTGGATATGTTAAGTAATTTAATTTAGATAATCAAATTAATCAATACATCACCTTTTATTAAGGTTAGATAAGTTAAGATCTTCATTAAGAAGCACTGTAAATTATACTTATTGATAAATGTGATGTAGATAATACCTCATAAAATGTATTAAAACCCATATCTTATCTGTGCTGTATTCCAGTTCGAATAATAATAATTAATGATTTAATCTTGTCTTAATTCAAACTTCGAATGATTTGTCTGTTTGTGAAAACTTTTTCATTTTACAACCATTCGATTGTTTACTTGAAATTTTCATTTCTAAGAGTCTTATTCCAAGAGTTCAAGAGTAATAAGTATCCTGAAATAATTTCACATAGAAATACTCGCAATGGTCATGTTTTCTGATTTGCTGAAGCCTTGCCCAGTTCCAATAGCTATCCTAACTTAGTTGGATAACAATGCAAAATAGTGCTTTACATTCTTTATTAAACCGATAATAAATAAAAATTTAAAAAAAATTATGTCGTCTGTCGATGCTGCAAAAGAATTGAATCGTCGAGAGTATTTAGTTAATAGTTTTAATACAAACACATTTGGTTTATCTTAGTTTTAATTAAAAGAATATCCGCGAGTCTTAAATGTCATTAAACCGGCACTATTTGATGTTATTGCCAGCTTAATAAATATGTCAATGTCAATGATAAAGACTGATCGAAGAAGAAAATCTCGGAAATTATTATTTATATTATGTTTAACGGTAGTAGAGGAAATGAGATTCTTCGGGAATAATGACGCGTTAAGAAATTAATAAATATCGATGACTATAAAATAATACTATGTGGCTCGATTATACAGGGTGACTGGTGAATTACTATCGATATTTGAGGACGTGATATTTGACGATCATATATGACAAAATAAAAATTAATATAACATAAATATTAATAAACTTCTAAGTAAAGTTAACCAAAAGTTGTGTAATTAATTACGCATCGTGTGAACACCCTACAGATTAGGTATACACACTCACACACACTCGCGCGCGGTGGCGTGGTGTTGTATCATCACGGCGCCGCACGCGTCCACACTTGGAACACTTGGAACGTGTCCACACTTTATTTATTTATACGGAAATTTGGTCAAAAATTAAGTACCTATTTTTTTTACATAATTCGAATGAGAATCATGTACCGAGTATTCTCCTTAAATATTGATAGTAATTCAGCAGTCACCCTGTATATAAAAGAAAGTCGTGTTAGTATACTCCACTTATAACTCAAGAACGGCTGAATCGATTTAGCTGAAAATTGGCAGGTAGGCAGTTTAGATCCAGGACAATGCAATAGGATACTTTTTATCCCGTTTGACAGCATTCCCGTGGGACTTGACATGAAACGTCAGTCACTATAAAACGTGGAATAACGAAACACAATTGACAGCTATGCAATTGACGAATAATGACAGATATGTAATGACGTAATGATGACAATTAGATATTTGTAAGAGATCGAAATGAATTCATTACTGTTGTGAAATGAAATAAAAATTTTCCTTTTCAAATATAAAACAAAAAAAAATCTTCATCTTATAATCACCAAACGAAAAATATATGTAAAAGCCTTCTGGTGGCGAAACGGAGTTCGTCGGGTTTACTAGTATAATATATATTAATGAAACTAATATTATTCGGATTAGGAAGCCTGTTTTATTTTTTTTAAAACTACATACATACTGCCGACGTTTCTGTTACTTTTCAGTTTTCAGCAACCGTGATCACGGGCAGACGAGATATGATTGATCACGTGATCCGGTGAACCATAATATATAATTTCAATCAATATAGTATTCACCTATTACAATATCTTATAAGGTAAAAGACTGTTGATCCGATTTCAGAATAATATAGGTACCGGACTTAGTTGTAACTAAAAGGCACAAAACTATACCTACCTGTAAATACGAGTCTTTCTGTAAATTGAGTAGAGAACCCCTGAGAGTTTTTTTTTTGTAATTTCTCATTTACAAATCTTAGCACATTATTGTATCAACGTAGGTTTAAGTTACAGTATCAACTTAGGTAATTAAATGAGAACCAGGAATATCGAAACGCTTCAAATGTAGTGTGACGTTATAAATTGGTGCTATACTAGGTATATTGAATGAGACCCGGCCTTCCGTCTGGCGCGGGGAGGAATTTCGTTAATGAAAGTAATTTAAAATATAGTTATCGTATTGAAAACTTTTGAATAGCAGCCCTTACGTTTTCGTTTTCATTTTTTTTCCAAAATAATTAGCTGAACTAGTATCAACCTTATTTTTGTTTTTAATAAAGATCGTTATAAAAGTTTCAGATTTTATAGTGTAAAAGTACTAGCAACAGCATCAATATTCATTTGCACGCAAAATAAAATCTCTATTTTTTAAATATAGCCTCTTGTATTATTGACTCTGCTATAATATTATTAAACTACATTCTATATGTACATGCAGAAGCAGGGCTTTATTGCGCAGGCTTGAAATCGGATTCACTTTTTTATTTGTACATCACACATACACAGAGCACTCTGTTGCGATTATAAATTATTAAGGAACATACACAGGCATAGAAAATAATATTTTGACAAAATATTCAATGTAATTCAATCTTCTGGAAATGTCTTTATAATACAAATGTTGCTTCGAAACATTCATGGATCGGATTTTAATTAATTGTATTTAAGTAGCTATAACGCAGAAAAAATTCAATTCAATTTAAAATTTTGGAGTCAAGTTTAAGTATAGCTTTTAATCATTCATTAGGAAGGTGTGTAGGTGAAATATAAGTACATAAGTAGTTTTTGAAAATACAAACTAATAATTAACTACTTATTGTATTTCACGATCAATAAGAAAGTAAGTTTTAATACTCCCTATTTACAAATTATGCAATAGCAATTCGTGTTGAGCTGGTCTGAGGTGGATTAAAGCTTAAACATTAAAATATTGTGTGGTAAAACCTTTCATGGATGTGTGGGAAAGCTTTAAAAATAAAAAAAGGTTTAAAGGCGACGTAGTAGGGTGTCTCTCATTTTGATAATTAATTAATCGCGTATTTGAATACCTCGTGCAATATTTGGTTAGTCTTATTGATTAAAGGTTTTCAAATTTTACTTATTGATTTTAATCTTTAAATGTGGGAACCTGTACTTTTAGTCTGTTTGTATTATCATACTTCATATGACGCTTCGCCCGTTTCTATTTCAATAATCTGCTACAATACTAGTTTTGAAAATCTATGATTGAAAAGATTTTAATGCACTTGAACTTGGATTAAGGAGACAGAAAATTAGTGACGTCTTATTTTTATTATTCAAAACAAAGACATAATAACAAGGAATTAAACGTAGGTTACTTTAAATTTTTAGTTATGTATTTTTTATTATAATATAAGTATGAATAAACCTTGATATGTATCTAGGATTTTGAATCGGCGGTATTCCTTACCTACATACTCTATTTATACATTTGTCGTCATTACCATACCTAATTCCTAAATATTTCTTTCTAATTGCTTAACCAGTTTTTTTATAGATTATTTATAATTCATACAAGGGACTTAAGTAATAAATGTATATTTATATTTAATTTGCTTTATATGTAAGTACCTACGATTTTGTAATGTACACAAAAATACTATTGAAATTGATGTTTATGTTACTGTTTAAAACATTGTACCTACTTTACTCTCCTATCATTTATTTCAAACTTTACTGGGACCTACTTAATTGTTAGTTTTTATAAAAATATTAATACCCTTAATGAAATAAAAACCAGAATAACCAAACATTGAATAAAATTGTATATAACACGCTAAAACATATACAAATATGAGACACGATCTAATATCGCAAGGTCTAATGAATATAGGGATTCCCAGTGTACATAATGTAAAAAAACACTTTGATAAAAATGGTATTGCTATAAAAATACAAAATGGTAAAGTTAAAAATGTTGTGCAAATATTTATCGTTTTTTTCTAAATACTTTATAAGTATATTTAAATAAATATTTGAAGTTTATAGTTAATAAGTATATTAAGTATTCCAAAAATGGGCAATAAGAAAAATGGAGCATATATTAAATCTTCATAACAATATTTAAGATGGCAACACCTTATTTATCATTACATAAAGTATAAAAGAAAACACTAGTATTCTAATGTCAAATCATTGAGGAGTTTGTTTTGAACACGTTAAATACGTAATGACTAAGAAAGTAAAAAAACCTATTCATAAATTAAATTTTTCTCCTAGAAATTACTAGTGAAAACCGATTGTTTAAAATGGAAGAACAAGACAGAGAAACCAATTACAATAATGTTGTCGATAAACTATTGGAAACGTTTGGAGAGATTCTCAGTAGAGATGTGATGTTAGCTATCGTGGAAAGCTACGAAGGAGACCGTAAGTATTACCTTATACAATAAATATAAGCTTACTCGCTCTGTTACTCGAGTGCAAGGCTAAAAATCAATATCATAAATACAACAACATATTGTATAGAACAGTTATTGCGCGCCATTATTTCCTAGATAACTATCATACAAGATATACGTTTATAGAAAGAGAAAGCAAGATATTTCTAGCTCTGTTGTAAAGATGTAATGGGCCCAGTATCATTGCAGTAGAGATCATATTCCTTTAATGGTATAATATTTTGCCCGGGACTTGCAGCCTGCATTGATTGATAGGGACAGTGCACAGTATTGATTAAAAGCTCGCAGAGTACAGTTGTTTGTTTTTATAAGTAGCATCATTGGATGTTTATCACAGTTCAGTCTGATTCTTTTAAATATGGGTTTTAGTGTGATAATTGCTGGCAAGTGAGTACTTGTAAGTTATTGTAAAAAATTTAAGAATTACTATATAATAAGTACCTACTAATTTTATATAATAGCATACATCCAAAAAGCTTCAAATTTCCTTTGTTACAGATGCAATGTTCATTGAATTTACCTTTTTGTAGTTTTTAATTGTACTTTGTTCGTAACGTTTATTCAAGCCCCAAAATAGAAAAATTAATTAAGATTTGAATTTTATTATTTTTAAAATGAATATATCAAATTAATTTGGATTTTTTATGTTCATAGACAATTAGTGAAATTGTTGATAAGTAATTTCATTTATTAGGTAAAAAATCAAAAAGATTACTAAGCTGTTTGTTTATAAAATTATATAATAATTATTAGGTGTGGTTGTTGCCTGTTTTGACTTAGCTTTGCAGTTGACTTGCATATTAGTTGAAATTTAATATCAAACCAAATAGTTATTGAAATCATAATTAATTAAACGTAATTTCTTTTTGTTTAATAGTTAATGAATCGGCAAATGCTGTTATGAACATCTCTATGGATGGTAATTGTATGAATCCTTCAAGCAGTGGAAATGTTCTAAGGCCAAACAACATGTATTCATTCCGTCCTAACAACCCGTATGTCAACCATCCTGGTATAAGGCTGCAAGGCCAACCGCATATGAGCCGTTTTTACCCTCCAAATGGATTTTTTGCACCAATGGCAAATATGCATGCTGTTCACCAGCCCCCAATGTCATATGCTGCTGCTTATCATCAAATGTCTCATCAAATGATAAACCAACCCATGAGACCTATGAGTCAACCTGACAATAAAATGCAAACTATTAAACCAATTCCTAAGGTGGACCAACAGAATGATGGTTCGAACAACACTTCAAATCTTGACCTCCAAACAATCTATAAACACCATGAGAATGGTCACCGTACTTTAATAATTTTGAGAGGTGCACCTGGCAGTGGGAAAACATTTCTGGCGCATAAAATTATTGATACGATTTATAATAAACGTAATAATAATTACAATATGCACATTTTTAGTACTGATCAATTTTTTATCAGGAAGGGTGTTTATGAATATTGCAGAAACAGACTATCTGAAGCCCACGATTGGAATCAGAAACGTGCATATGGTGCTATGAGGCAAGGTATAAGTCCTGTGATCATAGACAACACAAACAGTGAAATTTGGGAGATGAAACCATATGTAGAGAGTGGAGTGAAGTTTGGGTATATCATAGAAGTTCTGGAACCTGACACACCTTGGGCTAGAAAAGCTCAAATATTGTGCAAGAAAAATTCGCACAATGTCCCATTTGCAAATATTAAACGAATGCTCGAAAACCTGGAACAAAAAGCAACAGGACCATCCCTGCTACATCAATATTCTTTGCAATATGAACCAACTATGACACCTCCTATCTTGAGGTCATTACCGCCATTTAACGGAAGAACGCCAGAAGAATTGGGTACAACTAATAAAAGGCTAAAATATGTCGCAAATGGTAATAATAACGCCCGTAACAACAATTTTAATCAGCAAATAAAACAGCAATCACAGAATGCTAGTTCTTCACAGAAAACTTATTCTGTCTCAGCAAATAGTATAAAAACAAACAAATCAGAAGAAAATCAATTTTTCAATGCTTTAGATGTGAACAATGCAGTAAAAGATGTAAAAGGAAATTCTTCTCAAGCTGCAATACATTTAGATGATCCAACAAGAGATGATATGCAAGAAAGCCCAACAACTACATCATTTTCAATCTGCCAAGAAGAGAAGGAAAAACAAGAAGATAATTCTGAACTGTCTTCATTTCAAAATGAATCCATAGTAGAACTTGATAATGCTTCTGGAGTTTCATCGTTAGTAAATGATGTAAAAGGAGACGAAAATCAGGAAATTATTTCTTCAAGAACATCCCCAAACAGTGACTCATTAAAGGGAGGTATCTCATTTGATGTGGAGGCAGAGGTAGCAACTCGATTTGAAAAAGAAAAGAATCATTCAGTTCAAGAAGTTAAAGACACAATGAATAAAGATGATGTCCACAAAACATTAGAAGCGTTTGAAAAAGTGGAGATTGAATGGGAAAGTGGTGAGCAGTGGGAGGCAGATTCAGCGAAGAAAGAAGACAATTTAGAATGTCAGGGTGCAAAAGCATTAGATGCAAAACCGCAGAGACAACATAAAGCAGTGAAAGTCGAAAATACCGATAGTGCATTAAAAGGTAATTTGACAAATTGTCAAGATTGGACCAAAATAGGTATGTTTTTACCACCATGGTCTGATGAAAAAGAGAATAAAAACGTACCAGACGCGGAGTCCTCGATTCCGCTCGTAGAAAAAATATCCAGCTTTACCTGCTTCGAAATCGGGGATACAAATATCAGTCATGCAAAAAATCTATACAGAATTATCTCTGCTAAGCCACGAGACATTAACGAATTTCATCTCCCATTAACAAACAATAAAATTCCTGATCAATGGATGTTAGATAAAAGTACTTCAACGCATGACAATCAGATGTTGTCACCAATAAAACGTTGTAAAAACGAAGAGGAACATTTTAAGGTGTTCTCGAGATTATTTAAGAACGTGGATGTTGATATATTGAGGGATATTTTCGACAAATGTTGTGGGGATATTAACTGGGCGGTAGACATCGTGCTTGATGACATGGCTAGCGAGAACGTAAATAATATTATGGCCAACATAAACACTCCAATTCATGACATAGATATGCCTGAGCTTGATTGCGACTGTCTCTCCGCTTATAATATAATACCAGAACGACTTGAGGCTGTCTTACCAGAAAACCAGATAACTGACCAAACGGATACCCAGTCTACGGTAAATTTAAAAAAGAATAAAAAAGAAATCGCTGTTTCAGAGGCTTCTATCGAGTTGAAAAAACAAATAGAAGGAAATATTGTCATACCTGACAATCATTACTCTGAACGTTGCTTAAAATTAAGAAAACTTCGTCGTGGTGAAGTAGATACTCAAGAAAATATAGATTCTGAAGACAATACAGACAATACTAACATTGAGTCTTCTACATCAGCTGAAGCTTTAAAAACTACTGATCAAAATTCAGCGTATATCGACAATAATTTACCCAGCACATCTAAAATGGATAGTGAATTACCAGAAATAAGTGACACAGCTTCGTGTGTAAGCGCTGATGAAGACGGAGAAAAGACAGTAAACATATGTATAGGAAGAGAATTTGTGACGAAATTAGACGAAATCTTTGGAGGTCAAACAGCTGAATGTCTCAGTTTTATAAATCCGACAGTCAATATACCAATGTCGCTTTTAAGTATAATAAACGCTCTATGGATTGAATCATTAACCGATCAGTTGCAAGAAGATTCTAAACAATCTAAAATAATGATGGAGCAAGACGCTGAACTCGCGCGGTAAGTAACTCGTTGAATACATGTGTAAGAAATATAACATTTTCTTATGGTCCAACATATTTCAGACTCTTAGCAGCAAAAGAGGAGGAATTCAGTCGTTTGGGGCAAGAGCCAGAAATACCAGATTTCAAGGAAATCATGGACATGGATTACGCTTTGTCTATATATCAGAGGGATGTATCGGAATGGCGTAATAATTTACCAGACGATCTCGCCGCAAAACTTTCAAGAGACAAATTGTATAATTTGTTCCCATCGGTATCACCGGACGTGCTATCAGAACTTCTGGCGGCCCATGACAATAATTTCCATTTAACCGTCGAGGTTTGTCTCATTCTTGTGTCTAAATAACATTCGATTGATTTTATACTAATTATAATCCATTTCTCATTTTAAAGGTGCTCTTAACGTCAACCGGACAAACCGATATTCTGAAAGCGAAGAATGGAGTTAATAAATTTATTGTGCAAAAAGAAATGGAGCGGCATGAGAAACTTCTTCAAGAAGAGAAAAAGGTATGGATTGGTTTTAATATTTCGGATATAAAAATAATAATGCTCAATTTATTTATTTTATATTTTACAGGCGTTGTCTGAAGTTGAGTGGCCATTGTTGCCGAAAAATGAAAAAGTGGATATGTCCACTGTACAACATTTTCGCAATTACGCCGACAAGCATCTCAGAATAAGAAACGAGTATGTATTACTTAGAATAACTTAGAAAATAATTAAGGAAAAGGTTTCTATAAAACAATATTAATTTATGTGTTCCATTATAGTAATTACAACAAGGCGAGTGAATATTTTAGGCGTGGTATGACTCAAGTGTCGACTTATTATTTAGAGCTGGCGCATTTTCATAAGACAAGATTCGAACATTCCAATTCGATGGCAGTAGCTTCTTTGATACAAGTAAGTGGAGTAATAAAAATCACATTATGTATATTAGGTATTAAGAATGTCTAAGGATATTATATTTGTGACCAAGGTACACTATACTAAATATAATACTGCGATAAAAGTGAAAAGAAACAATCTTTAGATTTAGCTGTGCATTCAAACAAATCGTGCATAAGTCGGTAGAAGGAAAAACCTGTATTTTGGAACATTACTTTCTTTAAAATAGATTATGTTATAATGAATAAAAAGTATTTAAGAATAATTTAGAATAGTCATATAAACAGTTGTTTTTCAATGGACACTTAACTTTATTTAATGTATAAAATAAAATTACACTTTTGTATTATTTATAAAACTGTTCAACACAGGGCTTCAAAATTTATTTTGAAATCGGAAATTCTACATTTAATGTTATTTAAAATTGTGAATATTAAAAATATCTCTTATAATCTTTATTGAAAAGTGTAACTGGCTACCATTTTATTGCAAATTCTATAGCAAAAATATTTAGTTTCCTAATTAGGTATGAACTGAATACTAAAGTATTAAGTTGATATAAAAAGACTAGATCATATAATGGCGAATTCTGATGTAATTCCAATTATTTTAATGAATAATTAATTAAACAATAGTCGAAGGTTTTTTTTATCTAACCTTATTTCAAAGGAATCTAAATAGTATCGTTTTAGGACTTCGTATAAAATGTGCCATCTTGTAGCTGATGTTAGAAATTTCTAGTTTAAATATAAACTAAAAGATGGCGTTAGAAGTGGCAGTAAAATGCATTAAAAACAAACTCTGCTGGTTTAAAGTAATACGATTTTAGCTTCCGCGCGTTGCGATTTTTGGTCTACACTCGAATTTTAATCAAACATTACGACCTTCCGCGTCCTACATGTTAATAATATTTTTTTCGCAATTTATACTGACAATTATTCAAGTATGAATTGCTGAAAATGGTTGTATATACTAATTATCATTGTCTAGATGTGAGTCACTAATTGATGTTTCATATATCTCTGTCTGAGTTTGTCTTTATTTCAATTAAGTGAAACTTTAAATAGTTTTAAAATGTTGTTAAAATATTTTTTAACCATAACAAACACATAAAAAGTCACATAACTTGTTCTTGCGTAAGCATACATTTCATGATGCAATAATATGTTAAAGTAACCAGCAGAAAAGATTTCAAATAAATATCATTTTATTAAGTATAAAAACCCGAAATCCCGAACTCTATGGCTGTCAGCCTTAGTTTTTTCTACTCTGTCCCTTCATGAATTCCTAGATATTGAATGTTTCATATTACTCTTTTTTATTCATCCCTAAGATAATATTACTCGTATTTTTGTAGCAATATTTGCTTATCAAGTTTCCAGTTTCGTATGGCCTATGAAGTGATAATACATCTGTCATTACAATATAATTAAAAATTTGGTCAGCTCTCTCGTTCAGAGATTAGTGATGAAGTTGTGGGCCCATGCTGGTTATTTATCTTTGAAAGGCACGCTATATCAATCTTTTAATTAGTTGGAAATCCTTTCATTTAGAATAATAGTAATTACGTAAACCTTAAATTTTCCTGTTTAGTTCGATCTTTACCATAAGAACTCCTCGATTATCTTCATACATGTGACCAAGACCCGCCCTAGAAAGACGTCTCGAATAGTAACCTAAAACCTATTCTAGTTAAAGCTTGAAATATTTTACTCCCAACAAGACTAAAGATTTTTTTTGCATTTTGTCATGGCAAATATCTGGTCTTTCGATTTTATTTAAGTACTGTCAAGTCCGTTGCGTCCAATCCGTTTTCAACTTTGTTTTTTTTTTTTAGTTTTCATTTGTGTTACCGAATAGTTAAAACAATTATTTTTAGGAATTAGAATGAAGTTGTCGCTGTGTTTTTGAAAAAAGACGAGTCTTTAATTGTTTATGGACAAGTTTATTTGTTTATCATTAAATTTTAAATGACTATATAAAAAGAGATGTATAATTAATATCTTTCAATCCAATGAAGTGCGAACAGTTGACTTTCAATTTGTATTTATAAATAATATAATATATGGCGAATGATCTTTATTTATTATATTTTTTATTATATTTGTGTAATTATATTGCTATCGGAAGTAAATTTTTCTTGAAACTTTTGTTGAAGATCTTCAAAAAAGATATTCAGTTTCATACATAAATTAGTTTTTGCTCTTGCGATATCGAAACATTAGTCAATTTTTTTTTGATTTGATATGATTTTTTTGGTTTTCTTTTCCAGGTACACGCAGCCAACTCCACCAATAACGCTACTATAGACCTCCATTATTTGAGGGTCCGTGAGGCTAAGGAGGCATTGGACCTCTTCCTAGATACACATATACAAAAATTGAAAGAATTGCAAACCAGATCTAGTGTGAGATCTCACAATCTGTTCTTTATAACCGGCAGAGGACTACACAGCCAAGGAAAGCCTAAAATAAAACCAGCCGTTAAAAAGAGGCTGTTGGAACGCGGATTGACGTATGTATCATTTAAATATGCTTAAATAACGCTTTATTGGAACTAGATTTTTTTACGGATTTACTTTTATATATTATTGTAATATTTGCCTTCAAAAACGCTATAAAAACGTAATTTTTTTTTTTGTTGTGCTTTTCCCACATTTTTTAGCGTAATTGAGGTAAAGTTTATTCTCTTGCTAACTTTGAATAATACTTAGCAAGGAATAATGACAATATTATTTCTTGTCTTAGGTTTTAAGACATTCATTGTATTCTTGGAAGTTCGAAAACAAAGTAGTCCGAAAAAATCTTCAAACTTGACAAAATAACACATTTTTACTACCTAAATACAATACATTTATAAAATCTGGTAAATCCGTAAAAAAAATTAAAATAATTGCTTTAATATGCTAAATTATTTTATTTCTATGCTTTCTTATGCTATTTTTTTCGTTGCAGATGTAGCGAACGCAATCCCGGCCTTTTAACTGCTAAGGTATGCGCTGATGATAAATTGACGTATGAGATAGCTTAGTGTTCGTCGAGATGGCCTCGTCGGGAGCCATTGTGACAATTAAAGAAAAGATACGACTTTTATCTAATGTCGTATTGCTACACAGACTATATATATCACAAATTTTGCAAAATGATCATTTTCATAGATGTATACAGATTGGACTTAGTGCATCTATAGTGTAGTGATGAACCATAAACAGTGGAAGTGTTAGTTATAAATAAATGTAGCATTTACAAATAATTTGAGTATTACAAGTGTATGACGAGTAATTTAAACGGTTTTCGACATTTCATATTAATAAGTATAGTTGTAAGTTAGAAAAGAATGAGGTGCTTTCACCGATGTTAAGGGATAAAATTAACAAACAAAATGTTACTGTAAAAGTTTAAAGATTACACAAAAATGCGCTTTAGTGGAGCTTAAAAGCTTTTTTACAAAAATTTCGGAGAGACAAGGTGAAAGTATAGACTGATTCGATTTTAAATATTGCGATTTTGGATTGTAGATTATATTGTAAGAATAATTTTAATCAAGACTCTGAAGGTACAACTTGTATTTATACAATAATAATGAGACAACGTAATGTTGTCCAGCTCTCATAGAGGGCGCTGTTCTGTAAATATTGTAATATACAACAATACTACAATAACAATAAATAATTCTAGGTTAGGAATAATTTATTCGACAGTATGTTCCGTCTATAAAATATTAATTAGGTTTATTTGCCTCGGCACCCCAAAGATTTCTTCAAGTTACTTTAATATCAATAAAGACGTTTCTTAGTACAAATATTAATAGCACAATCTTTATTAGGCCTAAAAATTCAAGTTAAAAATACATGATTAAATACAACAAAACAGGGTTTAGTTCTTAACTTTTAATATTTTTACAATGGGTGTCTACCTCAAGTTATGCTCAATTTATCATTTATTAATATTCTATGTTTACGTAATAATTAAAAACTTATTTTTTTACTAAATATTCATAAAATCACTTTAAATCAACTATATTCCCGATAAATACGTGAAATAATTATAATTTTTTATTGATTAAAAAAAGTGTGTGTCATGATTGAGTAATATTAGTTACCTTCGAACCCAAGATAATTTTTGTTATTTGTTTTGTATTACTTTATCTTTATTGTAAATAACTTATTTACATAAGGTTTATTTTGTAAATAACTTTAGATTATCGTAGACTTAAATCATATTAAAAATGCGTTGCATATAAAATGGATAAAATGAATCCTTGAATTGATGAAAACACGGCAATGACTTAACCAATCTTCAAAAAAATTTTTGGATTGATGAAAAAAAATGACTTGACAATTTCTATCTATGAGATTACATTCACTTTGTGGGTGTGTGCTTAACAAGACTTTAATCAATACGATCTTGATATTACTGTATTTAAAATGAAAAATACAATTAAGTTCCTCTGTCAACAGATGGCGCTGTTGATATATTCCATATAAACTCTTACGCGGATTTGAGATAAAAATTACATAGTGTTTGTGTCAGTAACTGACCATTCCATAGATATTCTATAACACTGCGAGTTTATAGATGTTAAGGTGGATTTGTTGGAAGGAAAGCTACAAAGTTAGATTTGGTTGGTTGTGGGTGGATCATATTGATTGATAACATTAAAAAACACTTTAAACGAATACAATAATTGAAATTGATGAAGGGTAAATTTTTTAACTGTTATCAGTTGATGTTTAAATAAAATAACGTTAGTATATAATTATGTAATAATTCAATGTCTTCGGTGTCCTTTTATTAATGTGATGTGTCGTGATAAATGTGATTTAGTATAAGTATAATATACTGTTCTGCTAAAGTCCTTTTCACTCTAAATGCATGGCAATGTGAGAAAAGTTCTAGAGGAAATGATCTTTTTAAATATGGAACAAAAGTAAAATTATTTTTTTAATTAAGGCTGAAAATGCTGTTATTTAGTTGAAGGTCCAAAATATTGATAATTTTTTAACTGTTTGTAATAGCGGCTTATTTGGCCGATAACTTTTAAGATTGTATACATCATTGAGATACTTTTAAAATATCCTTTTTATTGAAAATAATCAGGGTAAGTGTTTAACACCTTTGTAATACTGCTGTGAACGAAGAACCAACAAAGATGGCCGACAGTTATTTTATATTGATGTTAAGTTTTGCCGCAGTATTACAGAACCTTCATTAATAATTATATTTTATATTTAATACGTTTATAATTATAATGCCGAAAATAAAATTGGGGATTATTTTCATTATATTTTTTTATTGGTGGGAAGTATATGTGTTTTTCGTGAGTCGTTTAGGTCGCATCTAATGAGACACGATTCGTGTAATTCAGTGTCAATTATAGTTATCCATTGTAATTGTCAATTAAATTTCGTAGGCAATGGTATGACGTCATCGAATTGTAAACGATTGAAGAACTTGATTGATGGAAAATTTGAATGATTGATTCGAAGTGTTTGAAAGTGAACTGTTTGCATTTTGTACATATCTTTCTATATCTTTATACGTGTACCCCGATTTTCCCACCGCTTTATTGATGTTCTATATGTAGTTATAATATAATTTGGTGACGTTGATATTTATTGGCATAAAAGAAGTAATAAAATTGTTTAAAACAATTTTATTTTTAATTAAATTAAACTTGATTATGTAGCATCGTAGTTTTTTGATGCTGTGCCAAAAAGTATGAACAAATCCTTAGTTAAGTAAATGTTTGTAGTTGTCGTAACGATGTTCTGATCTAATTTGAATGATTTTTAAATTTATAATGTTGGATTATTTTCTGTACATTAATTTCTTATTCAAAATCATATACCTGAGAGTTTTTTCCAGCTGGTGATAAAATCCTATTGGTCGGAAAAATTTTGAATTTTGATGTTAAAATGTTTCGGTTAATTTAATGATTAATTATTTGTTATTGTTAGATTTATTTGACAGCAAAATTAATGTCCTAACAGAAAAGTTAATATGATTATATTATTTCATTGTTGTCAATGATTGTCTCCTATATATATCAAACTTACTTACCGTATAAATTGTCCCAGAATACAATGTTTGTAAGTCTGTGTTTTTTGTTGTTGTTTAAAACGCAACATAAACGTATTAAAGTTAAAAAGGTTGCTTTATTTGAACACCATTATCGATATCTCTGCTCTTATTTAAGAAAATACTACACAAAAAAAAATCCAAGTGAACGTATTATACAGTTGATGGTGCACTACAAAAGAAATGAAAAAAGAGAAGTACAAGAGGATGAAAGTTGGTCAAAGGGTTTTAAGAATAAAAACAAATATAAAATAATCGTCTTGCCAGAAATATATTTTTTTATTGTACATTCATTAATAAATATCATAAATTAATTAAGTTTATTCGAGGTCAGTTTCCATTCGCTGCAATATATGTAGCTCTTCAACCGTTGAGGCCGGTTAAAGCAGCATGCACTCTTTCTAGGGGAAAATTATAAATTGCAAAATCTTAAGATTTTAGGGATTCCAAATCGTCATGGTATTCAGAGCAAGTCTTACTCCTTATTGATCTTAAATTATAATCTAATATATTAAGATTGGGATCAAATGGCCATTCTTCGGCTTTAACGTGAGCTGGGAAGTTGGTTTCTAACTACATTTGTGGGAATGAGATTTATGATCCAACGCCGAGTCTTGCTCGAAGGACTATTCTTGGTTATTGGACGTGGTGCTGTTAAACCGTTTATTAAACTTCTCAAGAATGATATCTTGATAAACTTGTGTGGATGTTTTTTCCATAATAATCTGGCTAAGTCAATCCTTGACAACCAATTTCACCCCAAACTGTGGCTTAAGTCTCACAATAACCACGTTGTAGTCTGATCGAACTGTTGACTATTTGTAAATCTTTTTCATAGCTTTCGATATAAATTCGGTAACTTAAAATTTTCCTTATTAAAATATTGCTTTTTCCTGAATATATTTCCTTAGTAAATAATATTTTGTCCGTGAACACTCCATGTGTATCGTTAAATAATTGTTTTGATTTTATCACCTCCTTCATTTTTAAATTCTAAGAGAAGAAGTGTCCAGTGCGTTTCTAATAGATTGCAAGTCTTCTTCAAGTACTAGATGCTGTCTTCATCTCCTGGGATAAAAGCTTTTGCCTTCTTCAGGCAAAGATTTCTTGTAATTTATTCCGTTACTGTTTGATTGCCTTTTGGACAAGAAAAAGAGAGTGGAAGACCAGATATATTGAAAAAAACATTTGACTAGCATCAAACGCACGGAGGAAATTTTTAAAAAAAATATTCTCTCCTACTAAGTCTAATACTAAGTCTCCATACCTACTTTATACAACGCAAACACAAATTTTGGATTCTTATTACTAGGTTGAAATAAACGGGATTTTAATATCAGACAATTTATAATTTTGTGGAACAAATTTTCAAAGAAGTGAGCAAAGTTCAGTATTCATATCCTATGGAAATGATTGATAGCAAATTAAAAAGCTGTTTTGAATAACAACACTTTATTTATTTCGAGTTGTTTTTATGACCAGACAAATATAATTTATAGTAAATGCTATTATGATATTAAACATATGCCTAGAAATATTTGAGTGAGGTGTTTAAGAACATATTTTCTTTCAATAATAAGTCATAAATAAGATATCTAGATGGAATAAAACGTTGAATTATATTAAGAGGTAGTGGAACTTTTATTTTTATTAAACAGGCTTTTGCAACTCAGTCAATAAAAAATATTTTAACCATTTAAAAATCAAATTCAAGCTTTTTTAATTTGAATGAAGTATTATTTATTATAAAACTTTTTTAAAAGAAAATATTAATGACATAAATAAATAAGTGATTAAAATATCTTTGTTATAAAACTAAAAAATTATTTAACTTTGATACAAGTTATAAATAGTTAAGGTCTCTCAATTTTTTTTCAGATAGTCTTATTTTGTATTGGTTTCCGCTGCTATTGTTGTACATTATTCACTGCAATTTAAAATAATTACTGAAAAAATTAAATATATTATTTAGTTTAAAGAAAAATATAATATGGTTAAGATATCATCAAATAAATAAATATATAGACATGTTAATTTCAATATATAATTCGTATGAAAAATACTAATAAATAGTTCCTACCTATTCGTGTTGAAGGCACCTTGTAATATGTATAACTATGTACAATAGAGTTGTTCCGTGTTTTCATTCAAAACATTTGGCGATAAAATTACTTACGCTAGACGAAGTTTACGACTGAACGTCTAAGGTCACATTGTAGCTCAATTTAATAGTAAGTCAGTATCTCTGACAAGTTTCTAGAAATACGATATTGTAAAATTTTATATATCCTAAAATCGTTATTAAAACATATGTTGCTGACCGGATTCATATTAAATTTGTGACCTACCGTCGCATGTTGCTCAATGTATTTTGAAAATATATTAAGTAATAAAATGAAATAATTTTATACGACACACAAAACATTTTGAGGGCTAACGATACCAATCGGAAGATATATGGAGCAGTACTTTCGAACGTTTTATTTAATGTTATGCAATTTATTATGTATTAATGTAGCAAAACAGCTTAAAATTTCTTATAATAATTTCTTATAATATACAAAGATTCTTAATATCCGAAGATTCTTAATAAACGAATTATTTTTCCATTTCTACTTCCTTAATAATTTATTTTATTGTATTGAGTTATATGCCTCAAGCAATTACTTTGCTATAGCTTAGCTTTACGTATAGGTATCATCGAACTACATTAGAATTAGAAACATTTAATAGTTATTAGCTGTAGAATTTCCATATATTACTAATTCCTAGAAATATAGAAAATATACATATTTTTGTAATCTCTATTTATATTTCAGGTTTACAAATATCCTCGGTAATATAAAGAATGTGCTTTATAAAAGAATAGAAGAAGTACAACAAAAAATATTTAGAAAATTAATTGTACCCAAAGTTACTTATCGTAAACAATGTCAAAACTGTTATTTAATTTGTCCAGACATGATCAATTTAAGGGCAGTCACAGTCGTGAGATATGATTGTAATATTTTTTATAATCTCATATGTAATCAGTATTGACTAAACCTATTAAATAAGTACACACATAAAACCCAACTGATATTTCACTAACCGGTTGTCTCAGCTTTTAAGGCCTCCTTTTGACATTAAGTAATAACAGCGAATTGTGGGACCTAATTAAAAATCTTTAAAACTTGCAAAGATATTTTTGAAAAATAAAAGTTTTGTTACACATTCGACTTGCAAAACTCTAAACTGGTTTTATTAACGAACCTTTTATTTTATCGTAGTCTTAAGATTTTCTACTAAAAGTTAAATTGGAATATTGATATGTATGTTTTGCTATTTTATTCAAAGTACTTTCAATAGTTATGATTAAGTAGTTATTTTGTATCACGATAACAATTGAATGTCCAACGATGCATTTGCAATACAAGGTGTTTTGGAAGCCATGAGCAATTTGAAATCTATTATTAATCAATAACTCACTTTAATAATTTCAGATTTTATTTGTAGCTTTATTACATAATGATTAAAATTTAAAATTGTATTCAATCTGTATTACATATGTACGTAGACTTGTTTCAATTCTTTTAATAAAGTTTTCATGTTCTGAGGTGTATTTAATAATTAATTATTCTTTGTTGAACTTAACCTATCTACAATTTTAAATTTAGGCCTGCAGGTACCTATGCAATCATGGAGCACAACTTATATTGTTAGTCATTTTTATTCTACTGGAAGAATAATAGACGAATAAATTCAAATCTTTATATATAGATAAGGTTCCGTACCGAAATCGATCCAAACTTTGATATTCAACCACCATTTTATGTTCTGGTCCATTCGTTTGTCTGTCGTTCCTTTTAAACTTTTTTTTCAGTAAAAACTAGAGAACTCAAATAGTACTAATATAAAAAACTTAAGTCTTCTACCCCTACGAATAAAATAGAAATTAAAATTTATATGCCAACAAGGTTCAAGAAAGGGACGTCTATGCTTCTTTTCATTTTTATATTTAAACCCCTTTATATTTTAAATCTAAATACATAGATTTGAATTTCCCATATTCATATATAAAGAAACAACAAAAATATTAAGATTTTGTAATAAATATTAAATGATTTTTTCTTTACTAAGAACTTTAAGCCTACTGTGAATATTAAGTATTAATGTTTCATAAAAAATATTGCATTTATTTTAATACAGACTGCGTATAATCTATAAGCATATGGTTTAAGTGAGTCATTGACCTTAGGAACACAAGCGTCCTGTGAGTCGGACCGGTTCTTTCGTAATAATTATAACAGTGATTGTTGTGGAAAATGGCGTAAGGTCATTTTACTTTACGCGGAAATAAACATATGTTTATTGTTAAATAAAAGATATCTATAACCTTCCGTAGGAAGAAATTGTTTAAAATACACAAATTAAACATACCTAGTCCTTAAAATTTTGAAGAAAAGTAGCACTTTATTAGTAGTAACAAAAAGAAGTACAAGTAAATATCTATTTTAATTAACTTTACTTATAGTAGCTTATCAAGAAGTGTAACATTAAATGTCAAGGATTAATTTGATAGCTTTCGTAAGTTAATTTCAATAAAATGTTAAGGCTTACATTAGATGACATTGTACTTAGACGTCGTATGCAGGCATTATATTTTTATAGGAAAATATTATAACGTGTTGTTAGAAAAGCGTAGGTACATCCGATTAATGTACTCAAATAGAAAAAGAGATGACAATGAACAAGAAATTTTAAGCATATTTTAATATGAAACAGGATGTTTTAAAGTACTTATTTATAAGTCAGAGGAAGGAGTGAAAAATTATTTTTAAGTCTTTTTATAATATATATGAAATGTGTTTTTAAAATATAGTAAAGTATTAAATTTATTGTTAGTGAATTTAAGCTAAGTTTCTTCATTTGTGTTTCGGGATTTTAATTGTCGTTCATATATACATATATAAATTTCATGAAGGTGATCCCTCTTCATATTCAGAACGATTAATCAAAACATACATCACAAAAAGTAGCGTTTCAAAACCTTTACTTTAATAAACTTGTGAGAGAAATGTCTTATTAAGGTTAGTCTTAAGTAATTATGCGATCCGTTTTTACAATAGGGCCCGTAAACATAAGTATTCAAAGTCCAATATCCCGCGTTAAAACTACATATGAAAATGAAAGTCTATCACTGAGTCAGGGAGCAGCTTATTATAGTTTACTTGCTTACCTTGGCAATGAAAGAGACTTGGACAATATGAACGTATCAGTATATATATACCGATGGATTGCTATGGAGATCATTCAATTACCAGAATTAAAACAATAAACATGTACGCTAAGGTGGGTTTATAAAAAATATGTTTTCAATATTTTTATATAACGTGGTCTCATTTTAGGGAATTTTAATAATAATACATATTTTTTTAATTTATAGTTGATCATCGCTCTTTGCGCCATTGGTGTCGCTCACGGCAGTGGACTTCTCGCCGCGGCCCCGGTAGCATACAGCAGCCATGCTGTCGCTCCTGCCGTCTCCTCCGTCTCTTACTCCACACACACGTCGCACGCTGCTCCAGCAGTAGCTGTACACGCTGCCCCAGCTGTAGCAGTCCATGCCGCCCCAGCTGTTGCCGTATCTCGGACTATTGCTCCAGCAGCAACTTCTTACTCTTCATACTCTAGCCACACTGCTCATGCTGCTCCCGTCGCCGCTTACGCCGCTGCTCCTGCAGTAGCCGTACACGCCGCCCCCGCTGTAGCCATCTCTCGGACTATTGCCCCAGCAGCAACTTCATACTCTTCTTACTCAAGCCAAACTTCCCACGGAGCACCCGCACTAGCTACCTACGCTGCTGCTCCCGCTGTAGCCACTTACACCGCTGCTGCACCCGCTGTAGCCGTACACTCCGCCCCCGCCGTCGCTGTGTCTAGGACTATTGCTCCTGCTGCGACCTCATACTCCTCTTACTCCAGCCAAACTTCCCACGGAGCACCCGCAGTAGCTGCCTATGCTGCCGCTCCCGCTGTCGCCACTTATGCTGCTGCCGCTCCCGCTGTAGCCGTACATGCCGCCCCCGCCGTTGCTGTATCTAGGACTATTGCTCCTGCTGCGACTTCATACTCCTCTTACTCCAGCCAAACTTCCCACGGAGCACCCGCAGTAGCTGCCTATGCTGCCGCTCCAGCTGTTTCCTACGCGCGGTCATATGCTTCCCCTGCCATCTCAGCCTATGCTGCTCCCGCCATAGCCTCTTACTCCAGGTCCTACGCCGTCCCCGCCGTAGCCTCTTACTCAAGGTCATACGCCGTCCCCGCCGTAGCCTCTTACTCCCGGACCTATGCTGCTCCTGCTGTAGCGTCTTACTCTCGGATTCAAGCTGCTCCTGCTATTGCGGCATACGCTGCTCCTGCCTACTCCACATACGCAGCTGCCGCCCCCGTCCTTCGTTCCGCCATCTCTTACTCCTCAGCTCCCGCTGTATCTCACATCTCTTACAACGCCCACGGTGCTAAATACGCCTGGTAATTGAATCGATAAGCGTACATGTACAATTGTAAATAAACATGTGATAAATAAAAAAATTATAAAACGAACTCCAAGTTTAATTTATTTAAAATTTAGTTACTCGGGTTGTGTTTTTTGAAAGTTTGATTGATTGTACGATTCGCCAGTTATGATCACATTGTATATCATATTTATCAATTTCAAAATTTATATTTGCAAATACGTTTCACAATTTATTCTTCTTCGCTTGTAAAACTTCTAAAAAGTAAAAAATACTTTTTATTTTTGTTAAAAATTAAGGGCCTTGAAACCGTTTTTTAAAGGATTAATAATACTAAACAATTAAACATTGTAATCGATTTTCTTAAAGCATAAACACATTAGCTTTATTTTATATGGTCTTCCTCAATGTCTGAAAACTAGATATTTTTGAATTTTATATTTTTGAGTTAGGAATCAGCAATTTGCACGTGCAAGTATATTGTTAGATTATTAACTAGCTTTTGGATTAATTAAGAATAAATTATTGATAAAATCTAGCCATGGAATAATAGTGTTTATTTGTTGAAACAACTTTTGTTAAATCCTCTTCTCAAATTGTTTTATTAATAAAATACATATTAAGAATCATAAGATGATATCAATCTTTAAAATTTTGTGTTTCGTTAACGGTAAGTAACCGAAATATTTTCTTCATCTAAATTTAAATCCATTTCCTTGTAACAACCTTTTAATACAGAGGCACTTACCTATCAGATATATATACAATAAAGTTTGCTTAAATATTCCTTTATTTTTTTTAATTAGATAAACACATTTGTAAATTAGGTTATTCAAAATTATTTTCACACATTCGTTTTTTTTTGAGATTGCATTTTATCTCATTCAACAAATTCTCATCCCAGATTTATGAAAAAGGTTTTTTTTTAATACACCCGTATAAATACATATATTTTTCAAAGTTTTTATCCCTCAAAATATAGAAATTTAGTTTTTTATTTCTCGAATTTCTAGTTCTCCTTTTGGCTAATATGTATTTTATATAGAAGCTATTGCATTCAACCACCATTTTAAACATCAGATTTACATTAATATTGTTTCAGCCTAATTTATACTAATCTCTAAAATTAAAATAACAATGGTGTTGGGAATAGGCTCGCGAATATCATAAAAACAACTTAATATTATAAATGCGAAAGTTGTTACGGGGTACGAGGTTTTGTGCATGGAGATATCTATGGATGTACCGAACAAGACAAAGATAATAATTTATACCTTAATTGCGTTAAGGTCCCCCTGAATCACAGCCTTAACGCTTGTTTGAAATAGACAGTCATGGCACACAGACTATATGCATATCGCTTCCGGGCGGTCATCATGGCTGCTTTTATCACATTTTATACCTCTACTATTATTTATCTTCTGAGTCTAATTGTGAAGTGTACGCCCTTGTCTTCTTGTGATATCTAAATTACATTATTGTAAAGTTAAACGGAAATCCGTTCAGTCGTCTTTGCTTGGAAAAGAAAGAAACATTAATACATCACTGAATTATACAAACATACAACTATATATCCGTATATTCGTACATCACAAATTTTCCCTTTTTAATAGATGTCACTAAATAAGAACCGAGTAAACTTTTACGTTTTTCATCAATCAAGATAATAAAATAAGTAGAAATAGGAAATAAAATTATTGAATCAGCGAGTTGTCAGTTTCTGACGGGTATTTTATTTATAGAAAAATATCTATTTTTAGAGACAACTCTTGAACAGTGAGTGTTATATAAAGTTGTATTTTTATACATCTAGTTGCTAATATATGTTTGGTTAAATTATTTGTATTATTTTTATGTAATTCTAGGTTTTATAAAGCTAGTTTCATCAATGTATAATTTTTTTATTTATCTAATCCGACTGTGCTACAGTGATCTTAGAAGTTGAGAAGATTTGTTGTTTCATATGCGAAATTCTAAAAGATTATACATTTTTCAATACTGATCTGAGCTATCAATAGACTCTTTCATTATGTTAACCCTTATTTTTATTTTACATTGTGAGGAAACTATTTTTTTGACCTCATATCGATTTCTCGACTTTCAAAACGGAAAAAGGTCGTAATATTTTGCCAATAAGGTAAAGTCCTTGAATTAACTATTCTTTTTTAATTTGTTAATAACGTATATGATTTATATGAATATATTTTTATTCACATGAATGAAATGTTTTTATTAATCCAAGGGCAAAAAAATTAAGATCAAATTTAATGTTACTTCCTAATGCCGATAGTTGTACGTATACATATACATATATACATATAAATTCAATATATATACAAATTCATATAAATATAAATCTATGTTGTAAGGACAAGAACCTTAGCTATTTAGAAATAATATTTTTTTTATTACCTTAATACATCTTTTACAAAAGTAATAGAAGATTTAAAAGGTAAGAGTTTAAATTTTAAAAGGTAAAACAAACAAAAAACATTAAGAATGTATATTGTTTGAAATTTGACATTGATCAAATGTGTTTAACTAAAACTATGTATATCTCAATTTATGTTAAGAAATATACACATTATACAAATAATAATTACAATAGAAAAGGATAATACTGCAACCAAGTCACATAAAGTTGTATGTAATGCACCCGACAAATGTTGTTTACCTTGGCAATGAAAGTGGTTTGTACGAAATATCGACCGTTTTTTTGTATAAAAAGCAGAACACTCGATATTAAAATTATTCAAGAATCATTACTCGAATAAACATGTACGCTAAGGTGGGTTTAATAAATTCGTTACATATTAATATACATACTTTATATGTGATTCAATTTTATTCAACATACTAAGTGAACACACAAACTAAATGTAGTTTTTATTTATCTAGCTGATCATCGCTCTTTGCGCCATCGGTGTCGCTCACGGTAGTGGACTTCTCGCCGCGGCCCCGGTAGCATACAGCAGCCATGCCGTCGCTCCCGCCGTCTCCTCAGTCTCTTACTCCACACACACGTCGCACGCTGCTCCAGCAGTAGCTGTACACGCTGCCCCAGCTGTAGCAGTCCATGCCGCCCCAGCTGTAGCCGTATCTCGGACTATTGCTCCAGCAGCGACTTCTTACTCTTCATACTCTAGCCACACTGCTCATGCCGCTCCCGTTGCCACCTATGCCGCCGCTCCTGCAGTAGCCGTACATGCCGCCCCCGCTGTAGCCGTTTCTCGGACTATTGCTCCAGCAGCGACCTCATACTCCTCTTACTCAAGCCAAACTTCCCACGGAGCACCCGCAGTAGCTGCCTACGCTGCCGCTCCCGCTATCGCTACTTACGCCGCTGCCGCGCCCGCCGTAGCTGTACACGCTGCCCCTGCCGTCGCTGTATCTAGGACTATTGCTCCTGCTGCTACCTCATACTCCTCTTACTCCAGCCAAACTTCCCACGGAGCACCCGCAGTAGCTGCGTACGCTGCCGCTCCAGCTGTTTCCTACGCGCGGTCATATGCTACCCCCGCCATCTCGGCCTATGCTGCTCCCGCCATAGCCTCTTACTCCAGGTCCTACGCCGTCCCCGCCGTAGCCTCTTACTCAAGGTCATACGCCGTCCCCGCCGTAGCCTCTTACTCCCGGACCTATGCTGCTCCTGCTTTAGCGTCTTACTCTCGGATTCAAGCTGCTCCTGCTATCGCGGCATACGCTGCTCCTGCCTACTCTACATACGCAGCTGCCGCCCCCGTCCTTCGTTCCGCCATCTCTTACTCCTCGGCTCCCGCTGTATCTCACATCTCTTACAACGCCCACGGTGCTAACTACGCCTGGTAATTGAATCAATAAGCGTACATGTATGATTGTAAATAGACATGTAATAAATAAAACTCGAATTACAGTGTATGTATTTTACTATAACCAACAAACCCTCAAAATACTTAAATAAATAATAATTATAATATTTTAATAATTTACAAATATACAATCCACAATTTATAACGTAACTTAAGTATTAATTAATAATGGATTACTAATCTAATTAGCAAGACTGTTCGTTGTGTGTGAGCGAATGTGTGTGTGTGTGAGCGTGTGTGTGTGTGTGTGTGTGTGTGTGCAGGTAAGTGTGTATGCATTTGTGTGATTTAATAATAAATTAAGATGTCACTTGTTTTTTAAAGCCTTTTTAAATTCTGATTTTTTCATATTGAATATGTCTAAGTGAGAAAACAAGTCGTTATAGGTGGTGGCTAAACGATTTACTAGGCAGTTGCTTCCGTATTTTGTGCTCATAGCCGTTGTATCAAATAATTTTGTCCGACGAGTACGTCGATTTGGTACTCGGAATGGTCCCAAAGATAACAGTTCGTTGCAGTCTATTTCGTTTGACAGAAGTGAATAAAGCATCATCATATCATAGTGCTGCGACGCGTGTCTAACGAATGCATGTGATAATGACGGCAAGCATCAGTATAGTTATCAAATATTTTATGGTCTTTGTAGCTAAGAAATTCCATAAATTTTATTTGAATGCTTTCAACTCTGTCTTTATAAATTTTGTACTGCGGTGACCAAATTGTGCATGCGTATTCCAACAAGCTGCGAACATATGCAAAGTATAATATTTTAATACATTCAATACTAGAGAAAGACTGACATACACGTTTTATATATCCCAATTGTCTATAAGCTTTATCAGTTGCAAATTGTATCTGCTCATTCATTGACAATTTCGAGGTCTAACTGAATTCCAAAATCGCGTATAGAATTGATTTTGGGAATTTCAATGTTACTTATGTTGTATGCATAATTATAATTATTTATTTTACAAGAAAAGAGAATTATGAGAAACTATTGAGTTAATGCAGTTGAAGTCATCGAGAATACCATTGAGAAACTCATTTACTACCTACTACTAACTCTAGTAAAATAAATTTTTAGGCATTTTTTTATATGTGCTTCGTTAATTTATATGTTTCGAAACTGATTTTAGGGAAGTTGAGTTCTTTTAAAAAAGGGGAATTCATGAAAAGTCAATTTATTCAAAAATATGATAGTATCAATGGATAATGACATATTTTGTCTTGGGGTATTTCATAAGTAGTTAATAAGGTAAACTTGTGTATACTTCATCACTTCTCTTCCTTTTGAGCCATAGCTTAAAGGAAAAGATATTATGCTAAGGTATTATGTAAGTCAGTATTCCAGTTAAGTAAACAATACATAGATACGTTTTTGTTAATTATGTGACTCGTTTCATTATTTATTTTCAATTTTTTTTTGTTATAGAAATGAAAGTTACCAATACTAAAGATATTTTTATATCTATAATAAAATAGTCCGACTACTTCTTCTGACTAAATGGGCTTCTAAATATATTTAATTATTATTAAATTATCATGTAGTAAATATTTAACCAATTAATGTATAAAGTTACTTGCTTTTGCCCTCGACTCCGTCCACGTGAACCGTATAGTTAATTCAGCCACCTACAGTGTTTGCCTAGAGTGTTTGCCTAAATGCGAGAATTGTATGGCAAGTTAAAGAACGACCGTAAAGACTATAATAAGAAGTTTCTTAGAGACTTAACTCCTCAGTATTCCATGGATTCACCGTATGAGTGCCGGATTCATCGCGTTCCAGGAAGAGGAGCTTCAACAGTGCCTGGAACTTGCGACTCAGGTGTAGCTTTAAAAGGACTGTGTGTAACAGGCCTTAAACTCTCACCTCCATCGTCCAAGCTCCTCTCTCTACCGAACAAAATTTGAAAATAACTTACTAGGGCTGCCTTAGAAATACGTTCCAAGAATGAACTAATGTTATCGTCCACTCTAAGCTGCTTTCAAATTTTTTTAGAGTTTAAGTAAACGTAGAGGTAGAATACATAAAAAAATATACATCGCTACGGCAACTGAACCCGAATTGTACTTCATGTTTCCACTCATGTAGTTTTGAGATTAGTATCGGTTTCGGTATGAAATATTTTACAAGCTGATTATTTGAGTTATGGGTAGGTATCATGATAAAAAATATTGGATAATATAATTTTGGGATCTTTATAAAAGATAACCTATGTTACTCAGGGTTTTGTATTGTTTTTATGTATGTATATCTTTATACCAGAATTCATTAAAATTGGTTGAGCGGTTTTGATGTGAAAAGTAAACAGACAATTAGAGTTGCTTCCGCATATTAGTAGAAATTAGTAGGGGTATCCAAGAACTTAATTGAGAACAGTTAAATGCAGATTTTAATAAGTAACATAGAAGGAACAAGGAAAAAAGTAAAATGTTCTCTAGTGAATAGATTCATTGTAAAATTTATAGATTAATTATTCAATATTGATTGAAGTAGCCAAGCTGCTAGGTTCTGTGTGAATAGTATTAAGTAATATTTTATTTATAGAATTAAACAATGATAACGTTGCCTATTTTAAGACACTTGAGTTTTATGCAGTGAAAGTTTAATACATTTATATTCTCGTAAAGTTGACTATGAACTTACTTAAAAACAACTATGAACAAGTTGTATTAAATTTTTATAATGTTAAAAATATTTTATTGAAAGTGTAATTTGCGTAAATAAAGACAACATTTCATTAATTTTGCTTACCCAACTAGTTTATTTTGTTTTTCAGTAATTCTGAAGATCTACACCTAATTACAAAAAATATAATTCTGTAACATATGTAACGGTTATTGTTGGACGATCAGTTGGTCGATCAGTTGGACGATCAGTTGGTCGACCAGTTGGTCGATCAGTTGGACGATCAGTTGGTCGATCAGTTGGTCGATCAGTTGGACGATCAGTTGGATGATCAGTTGGACGATCAGTTGGTCGATCGGTTGGTCGATCGGTTGGTCGATCAGTTGGTCGATCAGTTGGTCGATCAGTTGGTCGATCAGTTGGTCGATCAGTTGGCCGATCAGTTGGTCGACCAGTTGGTCGATCAGTTGGTCGATCAGGTGGTCGATCAGTTGGTCGATCAGTTGGTCGATCAGTTGGTCGATCAGTTGGTCGATCAGTTGGTCGATCAGTTGGTCGATCAGTTGGACGATCAGTTGGTCGATCAGTTGGTCGATCAGTTGGTCGATCAGTTGGTTGATCAGTTGGCCGATCAGTTGGTCGATCAGTTGGTCGATCAGTTGGTCGATCAGTTGGACGATCAGTTGGACGACCAGTTGGACGATCAGTTGGTCGACCAGTTGGGCGATCAGTTGGTCGACCAGTTGGTCGATCAGTTGGTCGACCAGTTGGACGATCAGTTGGTCGATCATTAATTTTGCTTACCCAACTAGTTTATTTTGTTTTTCAGTAATTCTGAAGATCTACACCTATTTACAAAAAATATAATTCTGTAACATATGTAACGGTTATTAAAACATAGAAAAAATAAATGTACATATATAAAACAATATACAGTTATTGCTGAGTTATTATTGATATATATTTTTATAGACTTGACAAACGATAAAATAACAACGAAGATGAAACTTAATTGTCTGAGTCAATATAACTTTTTTTGTATTAAGTATGGTATTCTTAAAGATTATAAAATTTAAATCGGTGCAAATTCATATCTCAGTTTGTTAATGTTTTGTAATTCTCTACCTTATATTTATATGTTCTCATTTTAATCAATTATAATTCATAATAACTTATTATTATTCATATGGAGAAAATAAAAGGATAATGATCAGTACAAGTCACATTTGATCATATGCAATGTACCCAATAAATGTTGTTCACCATCACAATGAAAGTGGTTTTGGCCGATAAAAAATACCTTTTTTTTGTATAAAAACCAGAGCACTAGCTATTAAAATTATTCAAGAATCATTACTCGAATAAACATGTACGCTAAGGTGGGTTTAATAAATTCGTTACATATTAATATACATACTTTATATGTGATTCAATTTTATTCAACATACTAAGTGAACACACAAACTAAATGTAGTTTTTATTTATCTAGCTGATCATCGCTCTTTGCGCCATCGGTGTCGCTCACGGTAGTGGACTTCTCGCCGCGGCCCCGGTAGCATACAGCAGCCATGCCGTCGCTCCCGCCGTCTCCTCAGTCTCTTACTCCACACACACGTCGCACACTGCTCCAGCAGTAGCTGTACACGCTGCCCCAGCTGTAGCAGTCCATGCCGCCCCAGCTGTAGCCGTATCTCGGACTATTGCTCCAGCAGCGACTTCTTACTCTTCATACTCTAGCCACACTGCTCATGCCGCTCCCGTTGCCGCCTACGCCGCCGCTCCTGCAGTTGCCGTACATGCCGCCCCCGCTGTAGCCGTTTCTCGGACTATTGCTCCAGCAGCGACCTCATACTCCTCTTACTCAAGCCAAACTTCCCACGGAGCACCCGCAGTAGCTGCCTACGCTGCCGCTCCCGCTATCGCTACTTACGCCGCTGCCGCGCCCGCCGTAGCTGTACACGCTGCCCCTGCCGTCGCTGTATCTAGGACTATTGCTCCTGCTGCTACCTCATACTCCTCTTACTCCAGCCAAACTTCCCACGGAGCACCCGCAGTAGCTGCGTACGCTGCCGCTCCAGCTGTTTCCTACGCGCGGTCATATGCTACCCCCGCCATCTCGGCTTATGCTGCTCCCGCCATAGCCTCTTACTCCAGGTCCTACGCCGTCCCCGCCGTAGCCTCTTACTCAAGGTCATACGCCGTCCCAGCCGTAGCCTCTTACTCCCGGACCTATGCTGCTCCTGCTGTAGCGTCTTACTCTCGGATTCAAGCTGCTCCTGCTATCGCGGCATACGCTGCTCCTGCCTACTCTACATACGCAGCTGCCGCCCCCGTCCTTCGTTCCGACATCTCTTACTCCTCGGCTCCCGCTGTATCTCACATCTCTTACAACGCCCACGGTGCTAACTACGCCTGGTAATTGAATCAATAAGCGTACAAGTACACAAATGTGATAAATAAGTTCAATATTTGTCATTATTGTAACTTTGAATTCAAACGTTTATAAAGGATAGCGTCACAATTCCATTTATTAAAAGTTAAAAGATAAAAAATAGGAAATTTAATGTTGTCCATGCGTGATCGTTTCATTCAATCGAATCAAAAACGAATTTAGTGATTTGTATAAAAATCTTTTATAATAAAGAACACATGAAAACAGAAAGAATACTTTTATTTCAATTATTCCCCGTAATATTTAAGTAGAATTTGTTTTTCAATAGTCTGTATTGCATGCAAGTTATAAATATTATTGTCATTCCATTTAAACTATAAAATTATCCAGCATTAAATAATAATCACAGGACTTGTTCACCAGTTTTATTTATAAAATTCTTGTCAATTGTACTAAATACATATAATTTTCTCCTCATTAATTAATACATATTTCAGTAACATGACAAATATTTGTTTAATGAATTAAATATATATCATGCTTCAATGATTAATGCGATAGGTAAATATTTACTAGTCAGTAGGTATACTATAAAAAAATATATGCACTTATAACATTTGGCGTACAATTCAATTGTGTTTTTTGTAAGTACTATGAAAGTCTATAATACTAAGAAGATATCGAAAAAGAAATAATAATTACGAAACGCTCTTAATGAATAATTCACGAACGAAGTTATATAATAACACTGCTTTATATTGTTTAATTCATACGAAAAGAAATAAAAAGATGTTATGTCACAAAAAGGTTTACTTGAATATAGTGAATGTAACGATATATAATTCCAACACATTGCAAGATTATATTAAACTAGCTGCGCCCCGCGGTGTTACCCGCGGAATTCTGGGATTTCCGGGATATAAAGTAGCCTATGTGTTATTCCTGGACGTCAGCTTCCTGTATACAAAATTTTATCAAAATCGGTTCAGCCGTTTGATCGTGAAGAAGTAACAAACATACACACACACACAAACTTTCGCAATTATAATATTAGTAGGATTATACTCTCATGAACTCTCAAGCTCGAAGTTGAAAAAACAATAAAAGAAAAGCAAACAACAACAAAATTATTAAAAGATTAATTTTTATATCAAAAAAATGGAATTTACTTGAAAATATTTCGGACACGGATAAAAAAGTAAACGAGAATTCCTGTATAGATTTATTTTTATATTGTGTATAATTTTTTTTTGTAATTGTAGAATACTTTTTGAAAATTGTTTCATAACTTATTTTATAAAACCTTATCCAATGTCGTTAAACGTTAAGCATAAGTTTACAAATTATAAAAATCTGGGGTGTAGTCTAGAATTGTAATCCGTTTTCGACGAATATGATGACGAGGGAAGAAAAATATAACTATATGCAAGTTGATACAAATTAACTAGGAACATTTATAAGAAGCTACAACGTGAACGTTAAACATATTTAAAAAATGTGGAGTTTCAGTTGTAATATCTTCCTCATAGTCATTTTCTTTTTTTATAAGAGGGGAATAAAAAGATTAATAATGAACACTACACTACTGGTCTACTTTGTTTTCATCAACTTTTATCGAGGTATTTAAATCAGTAATTAAACCAAAATAAATAAACCTCCATTTTGGCTTTCTTCCATCTAGCAGTTTAATAAGTTAAAATGAATATTGCAGATATTATAAAATTATAGAGAGTTATGTGCTTGAAATTAACACTCACTTAATAATATCATGATTTGCTTTGATCCAATATTAGTGATAATGAAATACATGAATTGTTTTTAATTTAAAAATCATAAGTACACAAAAGTTCAGAAAATATATGTATATTGGATTAGTTAAAAATGGAGTTCTCTAAGGATTTTATTTCGTGCTTTAATTTTATCTATTTTAATAAATTATCTCAGTTACATTATAAATTTAAAATAATAATCTATATATCTAATATAAGATAAATATTTATTTGGAAAGATTCAGTGAAAATATATAATTTTTACAAAATGGCATTAAAACTTTATAACGGACTCATTGTTAAAGCACCTAAGAGCTTTAAATAAGGCTCTTTTTTGTCCGACTTTGAAATAAAAAGTGTCATAAAATTTATTACAATACTTTTAACAAACAAATGTGGTGTCATTACAAGTAAAAGTGTCTTAACCTTTTCGTGTTCATACGTATCTAAAGACTTTTATACATAGAATACGCTTTAGTAATCTGGTTAAGTTCTTTAGCAAAGTCATGTTTATAAACATCAAAATTTAAATATTTTTATATATAATTTGAGTTATGATGAAATACTAATTAAACAAACAAAAGATTTATTTAGCATTTTGTTTGGTTAAATTTTGATCGAATATCCTTTGAATTGAAACAGATAAAATTTAAAGAGATTTTAGTTCTGTATTCGTTTTATTATTGAAAGTTATATTGTATAAATTGACAGTTTTCCAGAAATGTTTAACAGATATATTACATTACTTTGACTTCGATTTATCGATCTGTTGAACAAATATTTTCCAGTGTAATTGTAAGTTAAGATTTGGTTTGTTTATTAGTCTTATAAATTTTTAGTATTGATTGATAAAACACGATTCTATGAAATTACATTTAGAAGTTTGAAGAATCTTAGTGTGAATTCTGATAATAAATGACAATGGATGAGGAAATTTATGTAATGAAAGTTTCAAAGTCACACTGGTCTCGTTTATAAATATTACAAATTGTCAAAGTTTTTAATGCAATGTATTATTTGCACTTTGACTAAAAATATCTAGTAGTTTATGGTTTCGACAGAGTGTAAATTAAGAAATCTCACAGGATAAAAAAAATAATGAAAAAAATCCTTCTTAGAAATATAAGTTTTACTTATTATTTATCGATTCCACAAAAAATAAATGAAACGTGATGCTAAGAGCATTTAAGTACAAAAACAAAATTACTTTTATGACAATAATTAGTTAAATAAACTTGGCCTATTTGATTTCAAAACATTATACTGCTAGCAACGCATTATACTAATGACATATTAAAGGACCTAGTAAGGTGTGAAGTTAAATAAGTTATACTTCACAATATTTAAATGTAAAAATAAACTGTAACAAATCGAATCATAAAAATAAGACTTCAGAAAAGTTTCTCTGATCTGTTTAATATTTTAAATCCCTTTTATATTTTATAAGACTGCTGTACGGTATCCTATTTGAATTTTATGGTTACTTTTTAATAGGCAGTAAACATAGTTTACGATCTTTTAGCTATAAATATTTTTCCAAAGTAACATTTTTAGAAAATAATAAAATTTAGGCTTTTCTAATCTATTTATATACATATAACTCAAAGGAAAATGTGTAAATCATATTTTATTATTAACTAATTAAAGAGTTTTTTTATACATCGCAATAGTTACGTCACCATTCTTTAATAAAAGTAATATAATATAATTTAAAAGAATAAAGTAATATAATTTAAAAGAAATATATATGTAGATAGTTGACTGCATATTTAATGAACGAACTACGTGATAATAGATACAGTTACATATATCTAAATGTCAATTGTTAATTTTATTTAATGATTCCATACATGTAGTATAGCATATATACATATATGTAGCATGCGTTCAACCATAATGTCAGTCTATGCATTATGTATCATTTGATATTATTACTATTTCGGTGGCGCAATTTCGATTTAAAAGTTTATATTAACTGGGACACAGTAGTTTAGGTTTCTGGAGTCTATATAAGTGAATTATTGCGACTGAATTATATATGTACTTTTTGTATTTTTAATCACTTGTCTAATTCATTTTAATTTTATTAATGTATGTAAATCATATTGACACTTTTCACCAAAATTATTCACCAAATAGCTCAGAGCTATATCTCAAATTTAGTATGAGTGTCGCCGTTAAACAAATTTTTATAAATTTATCACAGTAACTACTGTAACAAAAAGAAATATTTTTAATAAACGCTTAAGATGAAACGAGAAATCAGAAAAGAAAAAAAAAACTAACTCTTGTAACCGAAACTCTGCATTAACTACTGACAAAAATACAAAATAATATCCACATATATGTTTAGATATCACTAAAGTTAGTAAATCCGTAAGTCGCTCTACAAGTTTACATCTACAGGTACCGCGCTTTGCCCTGACATTGTTACAAATAGATAGGGTATTAGTTTGTTACTCCGTTGAAATGCTTACCCAAAGTAATCTTTGTTGCAATTCCTAAAAATGTATTTTGCAATATCAACCTCGTATTGCATTAAGCTCCTGCAAGACTTGGTTACCAGTTCCTTCAGTGTGGTATAAAAGAGAACGTATGTGATTTTGGAGCCAGGTTGAAAATAGAAACAACAACAGTAACATGTATTCTAAGGTAGGTTTATTATTAAAGAAATATATTTTTTTATCAAGAAATTAATTTTATCCTTTCGATACTTATTGATTCTAATAACAAAAGTAATACAACATAAGGTAAAATAAAATAGAATTTCTTTTATTTCTTTCAGGTCATCATCTTTCTCTGTGCGGCGGGGATTGCATCTGCAGGCAATCTCTTACATGCATCTATCGCTGCTCCCGTGGCCTACAGTTCTCCTTCTGTGTCTTACACCACACAGACTAAGACTGTTGCTCCATTGGCAACATACGCTGCTGCCCCCGTAGCTACATATGCATCTGCTCCAGTAGCAACTTATTCTGCGGCTCCCGTGGCTACCTATGCTGCAGCACCAGTTGCCACATATTCTGCGGCTCCCGTGGCTACATATGCTGCAGCTCCAGTTGCCACATACGCTAAGGCTATTGCTGCACCTGCGGTTGCATCTTCGTACCAATCTGTAACCACTCAAATTAATCCAGTGGCATACGCAGCAGCTGCTCCAGTAGTCGCAAAGTCATACGCCGCTCCTATTCTGACAAGAACTTATTCCGCCCCCGTACTTACACGAACATATGCCGCTGCTGCTCCGATTATATCTAAAAGTTATAGTGTTCCTGCCATCGCTAGTTATGCTGCACCCGTGGCCCACGCTGTCCCTTCAGTATCTTACGCATCAATAGCATCTCACTCAGCTCCAGTGGCCTATGCTGCCGCTCCGTCAATCGCATATGCAGCGTCACCAGCTATCTCGTACGCTGCTCCCTCTATTTCGTACGCTGCTGCCCCTTCTATCTCATACGGTTTGGGAGGTCACGGATGGTAAACCTGCATACATAAGACTTTCTAATATTGATAAATATTAATTAAATCTGTTGATTATTTCTATCATAAAATATGGACTTTTAAAATTAATTAAATAAATTTTTGACAAATATCTGTTTATTAATGAAACTTTTCCCATAAAATAAATTTAAACAATAATCATTTTAAACATTATTTAACTACATATAATATATATGTTATATTTAACTATAATATATAAATACAGGGTGGCCCAGAAAGACCGAAGTGGTGTGAATTGCTTATAACTTTTTATTTAAGAGATGTTTTTTTAATAATTTTTTTAAAATACATTAAATTTATGGGGAATATTTTTGGATTAGTTATTAAAAATGATATCCCGCAAGTGGTGGCCATATTCTGCTTCGCACAAATGTGCTCTTTCCAACACATTTTCCATGACCTTTCGCAAAACTTCCGGTGGTATGTTGTTAATTTCTTCTCGAATATTGGTTTTTAACTCCTCAATAGTCCTAGGCTTATTAACATAAACTTTTCCTTTTAAATAGCCCCAAAGAAAACAGTCTGGAGCGGTTAAATCCGGGGACCGCGGAGGCCAATTAAAATTGCTGTGCTGTACTCTTGTGCTTTTTGCTGGAAATAAATTGCATAGTCAAGTCGTTGCTGGTAATCTGTTGGTTTCAATTCTTGGACAAGTTGAATTTTGTATGGAAACAATCCTATGGTGTGCAAAATTCGCTGCAGCGACGTTCTTGAGAGGCCCAGTTGTGACGAACGTCTCCTGGTTGATGTTTCTGGATCCTCCCGAATACTCTCCTGTACCACTTGAATATTGTCAGCCGTGTGGACAGTTCGGTGTCTGCCGGAACCAGGAAGGTTCCTTACTGCTCCTTGTTCTCGAAAATTTGCAACCAGACGGTTTATTGTTGACTGAGAGGGTGCAACCCGCACATTAAATTGACGACGGTATGCACGCTGAGTCAACACAATGGACCGTTGATTTGAAAAGTAAATTTCAACAATTTGGGCACGTTGTTCAATTGTGTATTGCTCCATTATAAATTATCCAAGTCTTCTTTACAAAATACTGAAGAGAAAAGAAAAAAAAATTATAATAAAAAAGTTATAAGGAATTCACACCACTTCGGTCTTTCTGGGCCACCCCGTAGTTCTTTGCAAAAGATACGAATTGGATGTTTTATATTAACACACATAATGTGACGGGTTATAGTTATTATAAATTAATAAATACCTCTTAAATACATGTAATCAGTTACACATAATAAATAATGTGACAGGAGATCTATTTTGACAAACCTGTTTTTGTGATAATACTGTGTTTTTATGTATATTAATTTATTTAGTGTTTTGACGTATTTTAATCAACAAAGAAGCGCTGCAATAATAATCAACTCTTGTTGCGTGATAATTTCAAGAAATATATCACTCTCAGACGAGATGAAATGCAGACGAGACGAGATGAAAAAAAAACGTTATCACGGTTGCTGCAGAGTAACGGAAATATCGGGAGTATGTCGTTTAAAATAATAAGAACTACGTAGAAAATCAGAGAAAAATAGTTTTATTTAAATGAATACTCGAGAGGGTCTTAGATTCATTATATATTATATTAATTAGGCATGGAAAGTTAAAATAAATTGTTGTCAGTCTGTTAAATACATCGGAAAGAGCGCTGAAAAAATAAATAAAAGTCAAGTATGATATATAGGTTACTGCTACAATAAAATATTAAATTTTCTTTAAATGTTGTAGTTATAAATATATGAATTACAATTTACATACCCCTTTGTTAACTATAATTAAAATAAGTACATTAATAAGGAACTTGACCTTTTTGATAAAATTCGTCAAAATTAATATATATATATATATTTTTTAGTAACACGATTCACAGAAAGTAAATATAAATAGACCTATTTCATTTGAAAAATGTTTTATAGCTTTACTGCAGCGTTCTTTGGAATCACTATATTTATTACTACGTAGTATTTACTATAAGATAAACGCAGAAATAAGAGTTTTAATTTTTTTAATACTTTTTATTCTGTTTACTCGGCTTAGAAATTTATTTGAAGATTTCCTACGTAAGAGTAGTCATACGTAGGAAAAGTTAATAAGCTATATGTTTAGACCCACAGTCTTGTTAGAGTCTTGATAATCCTAAGACGCAGGTGGTTTAAAATACTGACTCCTAGTTGAAGATAATAAGTTGTGAGTACAACTCCGAGTATGAAGTAAAAATAATTACTATTTTCAAAATCATCTTCAGTGCAACATGTCATAATAAGTACTGGTATCTTTGAGAACTGATTCACAGGATATGTTTTGGATACTTAATACCATATTCTGAATAATAATAATTAATTAATAATTTTTCTGCTTGTATTTAACTGATTGTAATTAACTTTTACTGTTCTTCACTCGGTCACCTATACTTTAAAAAAATATGTATTAATAAATTCAAATCAGTAGTGGCCTAGTGGTAAAAGGGCCCGCCTCTCGTTGCTGAGGCGCGGGTTCAAACCTGGCAAGTACCAATGTGATTTTTTCGGAGTCATATGTACTTTCTGAGAGTATTTAGACATCACTGACATACGGTGAAGAAAAACATCGTGAGGAAACCTGGAATTATAGTTTCACAATTATGTATAAGTTTGAAATCACCAACCCGTCTTGAGCAAGCGTGGTGATTAATGCTCAAACCTTCTTCATGTGAGAAAGAGGCTTTTGCTCAGCAGTGGACTCTAATAGGCTGACGATGATGTATTAATACATTTTCAGGTATGTTAAATCGTAAGTTAACGCCAACGATAAGTTCGTTATGCTAGGATATTAGTAAAAAAAAGTACAATTTTTGAATCGTACATGAGACAAATCTTAATTATATTTGATACTTTTGATACCTACATTCAAATATACGTATATATTGCTAGCAATTTCTTCGTTCATTTTATTATTCTGCACTTTAGGGGACAGTTTGATGAGTCTTTAAGGTATCTTGTTTTATATAATCTAACGTCTATGATTTCTTGCACATTGCCTTATAGGTAGTGTGGTCACGAATAGCATTTTATAACTTTGATGGAAAAATTGCAGATGTTATTTAATCGCCCACCGCCTTTCCATTGAATGAAGGATGTTTTTTAATTCTAGTGGCCAAACGGTTTAATGTTGCTATATCTCTTCACGAGCGATGATTCTGTTGTGGCTTGGTTTTTCCAACATGTCCAACATTAAGCTATATTTTTTTATTTATTTAGATACAAGATAAACTTTAATATTTTTATATTTTGTTGAATCCATTTGGCTCAGCTATGGTAAACCTAAACTAGGACTAAAACCCCTATCCAACAAAATTTACACGAGAGATTAGTAGCTACATATGTGACAGCTGATTTTATAAAATAAACAGTATCAGTTTAACTCGAGAGGGATATAAAATATATGTAGGTAGACATGTACACGGGCGCAACTCTGTTCTTAGTTCCAAAGAAAACTGTACCATACATAATAGGACACTGTAAGACACTGAAGAATATGTTGCACTTGTGTAATATTTTTAAATTACATTGGATATGCAACGTATGAAATTGGAGCTACATGATATACATAACAGTTGAAGCTATAGTAGAGTAGTTAATTGAAGTGTTGTGAGCCATCTATTAAGATGGTACTTGACATATATATTTCAATGGTGAAAAATGAGGGACGATGCCAGAAAAAGATAATCTGATGAAGAAAGATTTTTAAATTACTTATCTTATACGTAAAAATAATCATTCGAAGAATTAATAGAAATAATTGTTATACATATATAGTACGCGATCAACATAATAATAACTTAGAATACATGTTCTTTGATAGATTATACAGGGGGATTTTTATAGATTGCAGCTTTCTTCATATGGTTTTAGAGAGAAGTATTAATATTTACAATGTTAGAATATACTGGTTTCGTTGCACTATTGGTTTTTATATCAATGTCAAGGTGGTGTAATTGCCTAACAGCTATTCTAGTAGCAGTAAAGACATCGGAAACTGACATTCTATTGTTTTAATGATGGCATTGTTTAAAATTTATATCTTGCATATTATTTATTAGAAATTTTGTATAGAATATTACTTGTACACATTTAATCCATATCAAATTTTAAATGTATTTTAATTAAATTTCTTTTAGTTGTAATACAATGCAAGATTAAGTTTACAAGATAAGTTTGAAGAATTGTGTTTTTTGATTTATTAACATTTTATTGAATAGCCAACCAAAAACTATAATGTATATATTTTTTCTTTGTCTCTATGAAATCTTAAATGAAACTAATATTTTTCATGTGCTATGATATTTTTATTTTTATCAAAAACTCCCGACGTGATGTGATAAATATTAGTTTAATTAATTATCGTCTTTTTAATTTAATGAATACTTGTGAAAATGTTAGATCTCATGGTATGAAATCTTGTTTTTTTTTATATTAAACAAAACTTTTGGGTAAAGGTAAAAATAATTATTTAACTATTGCGTTCGAACCGACAACTTTTATATTTACATTACATTTTAACTACCTAGAATTCTTAGCATTAAAGATTGATAAAGAATTCTTGTAATTCAATAAAGCCAAGAATTATTATAAGTGTGTTTAAACGAATAGTCCGTAGTATGTAGAAATTATTTAACATTTATGATATTATGTATACACTTTACAAGCTTTGAGTATCTTTATTATTATGAATTAAGAAAACTTAATTTCCTATAAACAGCTCTGTGTTTGAAAAATGATTTTAAAAATATTTCTGAGACTTTCTTCACTTATGTAGGCATATATTTTTTTATATCATTTTCACTTAGGTATAAAATAAACTATCCATGTACATATTGTCTTTTTTAAATTTTTGTTACCTGATTTCCAAGTTCTAGTAATCAAGAATTATAATAGTATATTATTATACTTCGTGGTTCTTTTATTCATAGACGCTGTCTGTTGGAACGAGTTTAAAAATTATGAAGGTAAAAAGAAACGAGGAACATTGTGTTATTTATTTATTTAATAATTTAATTCCACGTGGATAAGATAAATAAACATTTTTATACTTTTTTATGTGTCTGGTTGTTTACCATCCATAGCTAGCTCCTAAACCGGTGTAGGAAACATGTGAAACGGCGGGTGCAGCAGAGTAAGTTATAGCCGACTTGAGCACGGGAGCTGCGGCGTAATGTGTGACTGCAGGAGCAGCGTAAGTTTTGGCAATAATGGGGCTAGAAGCATATCCTAAATGAGCACCGTGACCGATTGATGAATAAGCTACAGCTGGAGCGATAGCCTTTGCATACACAGGTCCAGCAGCGTAGGTAATTGGGCTAGCGTGACTGGATACTGAAGAATACGACACAGCTGGTGCGATGGACTTGGTCAGTACTGGTGCTGCAGCGGCATATGTGACAGCAGGAGCAATAGTCTTAGTCACGACGGGTAGAGAAGAGTATGCAGTCACAGCTGGAACAATACTCTTCGAGATGACAGGACCAGCAGCGTACGCTATTGGGGCTGCGTGGCTACTGCTGTGTGATGAGTAGGATACTGCGGAGATCGGTGCACTGTATGCAATAGGGGCAGCGTGCAACAAGTTGCCTGCTGAAGCAATACCAGCAGCACACAAAAAGATGATTACCTGTTAATAAAAAGCAATATAAGCTTTAAAATGACGACATCTTAAATTATATTAAGGAAAATGATATTAAGATCTATTATTAAACTAAATTACTATTTTGTTTGTATACAACAATAGAAAGATTTATGACCTATATATGTGTATATATAAAACTGAAAGAGTTCCTACCTTTGAATACATGTTTGCTTATTGAAGTGTTGGGTTGAGAATGAATTTTGAATCAGATGCAGATGCTTTTATATGATAGTAATAACTGGTAGTGACATTTGCATTGCTTGGTTCATCGCCGCAAGCGCTTATTGTTTCAGTGTCACGGTCGATTACTCGTTGTAGGAGCATATGTTACAACTAAATTATATTTTGATTGATACACGTCTCCTTTAATGTCATAAGTAAAGCTAGTAAAACTGTTGTTCCATGTTCAAGCTAGTTCAATGTTGCAATAAAAATTGTGGAACTAATGATGTGTTTTACAATTAAAACATAATTGTTGGCTTCCTATCACTAAGAACGTTTCCTAGAGTCGTAGTAGGAACTGTTGATACATTATTAACTATTAATTAAGATACAATATTATAAACTAATAATTAAGACTAATAATATTAAAATATTGTTATAAAAGACATAATAATATTTTTTGTAGTTTTCGTATCGATTTATAAAAGATACCGTATTAATGTGACGGGTTCAATATTTTTAATTGTAAGAAAAATATGTACATATATTTCTTGGGAAAATAGTAGCACATATTTGTTTGTATTTAAATTTTGTATGTACAAAAAGTAAAATTAAAAAGAAAATATAATATTATATTAGATCAACAATAATCGAAACAATTTTAAAAATATACGATATATACTCGCAGTTCAGGCATATTTATAAATGCAAAACTAAAAATATACTTGAATCTATTGGCTTAAGTAATTTTGCGTTTAAACAGAAATATTTGGTATTAAATATTTTGCATGGCTAGTAATTGTCAAAAAAGTGATTTTTTTTCTAATAAAGTAAACAATTTAAAATATTTCTGAAGATTATACATAATTGCATAAAAGAGAAATTAAAGAAAAAAAATCTAGGATTACTTATATTTTGATTTTAAATTCATTAGTACTTTATTTTTTTTTTGCATAAACTTGTAAATATTTTTAATTAAAAAAATAAAGTTATATTCCCTTTATTTTGGTGTATAGATTATTACCATACTTTTCCGACAGTGTCATTTATCCTAAGCTGAAGCTGAATTTCAACAAAAATTATTACATACATATCATAAAAATTAAACACAATTATGGATTCAGTTTTTTAGATTTTTCTTCAGAAGGCAGTCTAAGTTAGTTTTCATAACGATATGTTTATTTTGTGAACATTTTATCATTGTATAAAATTAGTTTCAAGTAAAAATCCTGCTTAATTTTGTTTTAATAATTATTCTATTTACTGAATAACTGTGTAAAAGTAAGGCATAAAGCTGTAAGGCAATGATTTCTAAAAGTGATTATATATTAAGAAAATGTATATATTGAGTTAAAATAGATTATTAGAACGTTTATAAAAAAAGTGTTCAGTAAATTTTTTGTACAGATATTTTAGAATTTATTAAATTTATTGTTTAGAATTTAGGTTAAGTTAGGAAATGGCACTTACCTAAGTGTAAAATAGTTTTTTGCTTTTTAGTTCCTGTGTTCTTTTGTTGATTTTTTAATTCAGTTTTTTGTACTTATACATATATATTTTTATTTCTCACTTTTCAGTGAATTATAAAATATTTTCTTAAGACAGAGCAGCTATTTCATGAATGGGAGACCTTCCGTAAGTGAATTTCGTATGAGACAAGACTAGCTCAGGAGTTTGAAATTGACAATAATGAGCGTTTAAAGTGAAAATTGAAGATAAACTTTCTGAATTGTGCATTTATTTTGATTTTTATAATTTTTTTTTGATCTTTTAAATTTATTTATTTATTAAGAGCATCCGAGTATCAAAACCTGACTTGGTAACCATAAAACCACCTGAGGGATGCAAATTTTCAGATAAAAAAGAATTTCTTAGATCGATTCAGGTATTCGAGAAATTGGGGAACATATACATATATAAATAAAAAAGTTTTCGATTAACTGAGAACCTCCTTCTCTTTTGAAATCAGTTAATAACAACATTATAAATTCTATCTTCCGACAATGAACGTCAATTATAATAATACGCCTTAAGTGATGCCATTACTTAATGTGAATTATGTATGCCTACACATTTTAAGGATTTTCCTCAATTTTCTCAGGATCCCATAATAAGGTCTTATTGTAATCGTCATGGGACCATCTGTAAAGTCTATCTATCTGTCTTTTATAAATAAATATATTAAAATCGGTTGGCGTTGAAGTTACTCTTTCATTTATCGTACACATACTTAATGCTCACACTATACATCATTAAAATCGCTTCACCCAGTTGAAATCTATAAGATAACAATTATAAAAAAATAAAGACGAATTGATAAATAACCTCCTCCTTTTTTGAAGTCAATTAAAGTACTATATCCAGTTTAAAAATAGAAATAAAATTAATTATAGAATGAATTAGCCAAAACACATTAAAATTATTTTCTTTTAAAGTATTTTACTTGTCCTTTGTAGGTCTGTTTTAATATAAATCTGTATTTGAAACAAAACTTAGTCGTTGTTACGTATTGTTCTCCTAATAAAATAATGGATATATAAATAAAAAACAAAATAACGATGATAATTAATAGAAGACAGTATTTGGAGATCCTATCTAATATTCAATAAATGTCCATCGAAAATTTTTTTTTCCATAATAATGAATCTTTGTTTATACGAGTATATATAAAAAGGGCACGACTGTGTCTTATCTTAATATTTGTAGAGTTTATAATTCAAAAGCAATTCATATAAGGATAATAAATTAATTTTTGGACGTTGAGTAGTAGTATAGATGTTAAAAGTTATGGTCGACACATATGTATGTCTACTTTTATTGATTACTTTCTATTGTTCTTTTTTAATAAAATAAATTTAATAAAATTTTATTAGTGACTTACTATTTATTCCTTTATATAGAGGCTTAGAGAAACAATTAAAAATATTTTAAATATATTTTATTCGCGTTGTATCACAATAAATATATACAAAACATAACACTAGAAAATATGTACAGAAATTCAAGGTGATCACCAACCGTAGTGACCGGAAAGTCCACCGTAGTGTCCTGAGAGGCTTCCGTATGAGAGCGCTGGACCTGCAGAGTATGTTACAGATTTGATAAGAGGAGCGGATGCATAAGAAATGGGGGCAGCGTACGATACTGCTGGAGCAGAGTATGCTTGGTAGGCCGGGGCTGCGTAACTCTTAATCACAGGAGCTGCGGCATAAGAAGAAATAGCGGGTGCTGCGTAAGATATCGCTGGTGCAGCATAACTCTTAATAACGGGAGCAGCAGCATAAGATACTGCTGGTGCAGCCTGGATGGCTACGGGAGCGATAGCTTTAGCTACCACTGGGGTACCGTGTGAGGTGTGGGTTGAGTAAGATGAGATAGTCGAAACAGCTGGAGCGACCGCTTTCACCAATGGTGCTGAGTAAGATACTGCTGGAGCAACTGCTTTGACCAATGGTGCCGAATAAGATACTGCTGGAGCAGAATACGCCTGTATGGCTGGGGCGGCATAGGTCTTGTATACAGCTGGGGCAGCAGCATAGGTAGCGATAGGAGCTGCTGCATATGACGCTACAGGTGCAGCATATGTCGCTCCATATGAAGCTCCATACAAACCACCAGCACGCGCGGTGGCGATAGCGCAGAGGAAGACGATGAACTAGAACAAAAATAAAATCTTTTACTACTGTTATTTTAAAAAACCGTTATTTTATTAAAATTAAAATTTTTATGTTCGAATTTTTGTTGTAGAAATAAAGTAAAGCTTAATACAATGTGTGTTTACCTTAGCTGCCATTTTATTATGTTAAATCCACTACGACAAGTGATACAGTTAGTGTGTAGGCGCGTACTTTTATACCATTCTCGTTAGATACCCCCATCTGTCGGTTCAGTTAGAGTTTCGTTCTAGGTCTCATATTAGACACTTGAGGATTCAAGTGATTTATCCATAACATCTATATATCTTTTCACAAAAAAATTAAATCCAACGTTATTAAGATGGGCTATGTCATATTATTTTTATTATTTAATTATATTTTTTTAAGATACATACAATTTTAAAACATTTAATTTAAGAGAATTTGGTAAACGTTATGCTATCTGCTGTTTACATAAATCTCTGTATTTTAATTATGCGAGTGCGTGATAAATCGTAATATACATTATTTAAAATTTTCACACACACGCTTAGCCGCTTAGGCACAATCGGATTAGCTTGATTTACTTCATATGCTACCCAATAATTTAGAATCAATGACCAGTTTATAAACCTATAAGCATTTACATTATACATATACAATTAGATAATCGAATCCAAAAATGCCTTTTGTTATTTTTAATGCATTGAGATTATTTAACATTAATTTATGACCTTAAAAATATAGCTCACTTCAAAATATGTTATAGTATAAAAGTCAACCAGATAAATGAAACAGCACTAAAATTATAAGTTAAAAGAAATGTTTTAAAAACATTTATAAAATAAATGGGTATATTTTGATTATCGTCTTTTTAATAATACTGTCTTTTATAAATTTTATTTTACCATATGACTTTATCCACATATGAATTAAATTTTATGCTTAAAATTGTATGGTATAAAAATTATAAAAAATATATATTTTTATTACAAGTTGTAGATTTATAGGACAAGTGTTTGTATTTTATTAACTTTTTAATAAACCTTTATTTTATAGCATTTTTTGTACATATCATACACAAAAAATAGTGGATCAAGCCCGCAATTATAACTGGCGAAGATTTTATGAAGTTTGTCATAGATAAAATAATATTTTTCCTTTATCCTAAATCCTAAATATCCTGAATGATGTATTTCGATTTTGACAAACTATAGTTTGATGTTAGTATGAAGTGATACTTTATATATATTTTTTCTTATAATTAGTAATTACTTTTTTGTTACTGTTTTAACAAAGGTTGTTATAATAGAGTGTCAGGGCTTTATTTTTTTATTGTTGTGTTACTTCCTTCATTAATGAATCAGATACTATTTTTATTATCTTTTAGCGTTTATCTAATAGCGTTAATGATGTAAAGTTATATTGTTCTTTATATTGGTTTGTGTAAATTGTATTTCAATTAAGTTAAACATCATCGCTTAAACAAAATCAAGAATTCCGCTCAGAATTCCGCATTATTTTCTCAAGTAACCCTTTTTACAAAATAGGCTTATCATACAATTAAAAAAGTTTGTTCGAAAGCAAAAAATACTTTTATAACATCAAAAACGAGGTAAAAAATTGTTCTCTTAAATTCTATATAAATATTAAAATTTTTGAATTTTTTATAAGTTTTCCAATCGTTTGTTATTTTTTGTGTTTCTTAATTTATTTAAATATTCCTTCATCTTTGTAAGACACCATTTTAATTTTTTTTAAGCCCAGGTGATGAAGAATCATTAGAATGTCCTTAATGAGGAATCCTAAAGTCAAAGTTATTCATATAATATATACGTTCCGAGGCCACTTCAAATATGTGTGGATTTTAAATTATATCAGAGTGAATGTGCCGGATATGCTGCAATTAATGCCACTTTAAAAATAATTTTATATTTAGGACAATAAGGATGTATTGCTAATATTATAAATTTTTTACTGTTCTTGTGTTAATCAATTACAAAATAAAGTAAACCGGTTAGAACGACATTTTGTTATTAGGTTGCCGGTAAGACGTAAAAATCTGGTAAATTAATTATTATCTCAAAAATCTATGAAACAGAGCAGCTTGAGAGCAAACTCCGAACACGTAAGTTAAGTCGCGGGTAAATAGATTTTATTATGTTCGAAATAGACTTTTACGGGTGTCTTTATAATGAAAGGGAAAGGTCCAGTAATACTCTTATTACATCAGCGTTTACCCGAATAGGTACAATGTTTTAACCATATGTACGTTTTGCAATACACTTGGACAGGTCAATCGTGCAGCCTCGCCCTCTTAAACGATATTATTACACTAACCATAACTAGATCAGTTGCATACAGACCACTATGGTTTCTTTTCTTTGTATGACATATAAAGTTTGACAATACAGCGATTCGTTTTGTATACGGTATGTTAGTGAAATTTAATTCATATTATCCTTACCCAAGGTCTTCTTTTCATTGGTAAGAATTTGTTACGTTTATCAGACAATACTCAAAGGTGTACGTGAGACAGTTTTTAAATATTTCATTAAAATGACATATTATAGTTATACTAACATAAACCGTAAACACTTTATTACCTTAATGATATCAATTATTACATAAAATTGTAGCAAAACGGTAACATTTATGATGGAAGGTATGAAATTAAAATAACATGACTCCTTAATGATATATTATGAAATAATTAGACATAAGTAAGAAATAAAATAAATTAACTTAATTATAATGTCAGTCGCGCATACCATAAGAGCTAAGAATGATTATATTTTACCATGTATAGGTAGACCCTAGACTGGTGAATGTCACATGAGAAACTAAAGGGGCCATCGAATATGTAATTCCTGTTTTTGTTTGTTGGTGAATCGCTGGAGTCGAATATGACGCTTGAGCCAAATTATATGCAGGAGAGGCATATGATTTGCGAATATTGCTATGAGGTTTGAACAATACTTGATGGCCTAGAAATCCTTCATTTTGGGCTTCGTATATCGGAGCTGGTTCTCTGGGAGGCACCGTAAGTAGATGTGGATACTGTTGTTCAGCGATGACCGTGATATTAAAAAAGGCCATAATTAAAATAACGGGAATCTGTAATGAAATTGTACTCAAAGTAATACATTTTTAAGCATATGCACGTTTATGAATCACTATATTATTATTTACCATTGTCCCCATCTTAATAATTATTTGAATTCGGTGTCCTTTATGTGAGTGATTTAAATTTTTAAGTGTCAACCTTTTTATAGAATAAATTGTATCTTGTTTTTGTCAACACCATTTTAAGGAAAGCAGTAAGCCCTGTCTTAAGTCAGATTAAGCCTTGACCTTAAAGTTTTTTGGCTTAACATAAACAATTACTTGGGTACTTAGTTTTTATAAACATAAAATTTGAGTGTTAATAGATGAATGGTATGAAAAATTGTGTTATAAAATTCAGAAACAATATTCAGAAAAGAATTTGTAATTGGAATATTTTAAATTGGTTTGTTTTTTTTTCGGATTTTGAATTATTTCATCTGTGATTCAATGACTGAGGTCGTAACTGAACATTTTAAATGATATTGTTTATTTCGACTAATATCATTTCGTGGTAACTAAGTACAATATTATAAAAACGGAGTAAAAGAGTCAGAGATATGTTATAAACCTGGTGTTGGTCATATCTACTTTTGTGATATGTTTTTATTTTTTTATGTCAAAACAGGTGACCGGATGTGTATGAAGTGTCTCATAATCTCTTTAACGTGACCTATAAAGTCAGCGAAACGTTGTAGTTTAAAATCAATATCACATTTTTATACGAAGATTTTGTATACGGGATTTTGTAGATAGAGCCGCAAAATATTTTTTTTTCTACAATTTTAAATATTTTCTCCTTAAAGGATTTTATTACTTTTCAAAGTGTTACTTATTTTAATACCCTTTTTTTCCCTTATATGTTGTTAAATTTACCCACAAAGTTATTATAAAATTAGCAGGTTTATTTACTAGAAAGTAAATAATCTAAAGATAATAGAATTCAGTCAGTCTAGACAGACTAGAAAAAATTGGTAACAGGAATGTAAAAATCATAGCGACTATCTATTGTGTAAAAGGACAAATTTTGTAAACATCGTGAATTCGATTTTATTTCGCACAATGCCTTTTCATATTTTAACTGAAAGTCTTTTTTCGTTCATACATTATGCAGATTGTTAGAAACAGTTATGATTTATTCATGACCGTTTGTAAGGTATTAACAATAGGACTTTTTATGACGGCAACTAGTCTGAAAGGAAAGCATTAAGATCGAACCACAGTAGTTATTGCGTAACGATTTGTGTGTGATATCGAGTATTACATTTGCAATATACGTTTGAACTGTGTTGTATTAGCATCCGTTAGCATATTAGGCGTGTGGGAGTAACCTAAATTGTGAATTTGTTGTAACATGATTCCGACAAATGAATCACATTCTATATTAGTTACATATTTCCTAATAGCTGAACTGTTCCAGATCGAATTAAACTGACTGAAATGTTCTTATTGTACTTTGTTTAAAAGGCCCCATACAAAATACTTTATAGCAATGAAAGTATAATGACTCGTCTTTAACACATCAATAAAACATGGAATGGTAAGTGCTAGACCGTGTTGAACCACAAAGAGGTTTTTTTAATAAGGATCTTATCATGTTTTGTTATTTTATTTAGAATAAGATGTATCAATTCTGGATTTAAATATCATAAAAAATATATTAAATATGAAATATGCCAAATTATATTATTATTAACGAAATGAACTTAGTTATGGATGAAGTAAGGTAGAATTAATCTCATTAAAATTAAAAAACTGGCAGGTGTAATTTAAGTTTGAGGTGTAATATAACTTCCGAAGCAAAATCATTATGTCAAATTATTGCGCTTGTGCGAATTAAATTCCGAATAGACAAAGAATTCTTTTCATGGTCTATATAATGTGTAATTACAAACCTTGAATTAATGTTACATTATTCACATCTGAGATCGCAAATACAGATAGTGTTTAAATATATATTTCGCACTTTAATGAAACGCTAGTACATTAGATAATATTTATTTTTAAATCCATTTTATAATTATTCTTATAAAAAATATTTTATTAGTAAGCTTATTTCGTTTTTCAAATATAAAAGATAAAAAGATTTTCAAATCCATCAAAATTGTATTTATTTTACTTCTACTTGGATCTTTTTTAAACTGAGGTTTTAAATTGTTAGAATTTGGTTCTATTTAATTCTGTATTAATATTTGAAGTTCTCATTACCATATTTTGGTTAATATGTTTAAAATGGTACAAGTAACTTAAACAAAAAAAAAAAGCTTTTGGAAATTTCTTAATTGAATTGAAAAGAATTACCAACGTGAGACGTGTGAGTTTGCTATTATTTTAATCATACATACATCTAAAATATTTACTTTATTTTAGTCATTTTCCAAATCTTTTTTTTGTTTCATTATAGGTAGGATATTTGGTGGTCCACTCAAACATTTTATTGAGAAGATTAGCTTAGCTTAAAATTAATCGGTGGCTTTAGGATTATGCGTAAGATTTAATGATCAAATAATCTTAAGCAAAGATTAATGCACAATATATAAATATAAGGCCTAAGAGTATAATAACAAAGTCAAATACACCTTTTTGCTTAGAAACAAGTTTCAATGTTGACACTATTATTACTCTCGATGGGTTTCACGTTTCTCAATATATATTTAATGATAGAGGATTAATGATTGAAAATCGTTATCACTCTGTATTTAATGTGACGAAGCAAACTTGGGGTTAACATAACGATCTTAAGAAAAATAGATTTTTAATTATAGATAATTATGAGGAAGTTTTATTAAGAATTAGCTGTTGGCGTCAAATATTACAACATTGCTTAGAGACAAAGCAAGTATGTAATACAATAGATTATACTGTTACAACATAAAGATGTCATAATATCTGTATGTTATATTCTTTTTTAAAGGGCAGTGATTTAATGACAAATACATTAATGTAATATTAAATTATATACACAAAAATTAGTTAACATTACATGTTAAAAATAAGATCAAAATGATTTTTTATAATTAATATGACCGATTATTTCCAAGTAATAATATAGTTAATAATATTGAAAGGGACCGTGTTTTTTTCTCACATTTGTCAGAAATAGATCATAATCTATAGATAGATAACTATCGTAATCTATTATAGTAAAAAGTTTTTAGCATCCCCAAAACACCTTTTAGATTATTATCAGTCATTTATTCTGGCAAAGCTGTTTTTTTTCTTTAACTTCAATAACTTCGTGCATCAATTAATCCATTACGCCAGTGCGTATAGGCGTACTCACAACTGTTCAGCTTCTCGTCGTAAAGGTTTCATTGACATTTGTAAAGTCTTCGTTTATGTGGGTCAATGCGACACGTTTCTTTTTAACTTTGAGCAAAATTTTGTTCTACATGAAGGACGACCACTTAAATAAGTATCCAATTACATGCCTTAATTTCGCTAAATCAATCCCAAATATAATAGTGAATAAAAATGATTACAGTTTTGTTATGAAATTTTCTTCTCAGAATTGCAATATGCACTGAGGTCAAAATTGAATTAATGGCATCATGATCATAGATGTTCAATTAGTATTTAATGATGTGTGTATATGCAAGATATAATTGTATGGTAGTACTTAATTTGAGGACACTTCTTGTGCAGATAGTCTATTATAGTTAATAAATAGTATATTTCGTTGTATCGAAAGTGGCTCTTTGAATGAATTCCGTTCGCATATTTTTAAGAGATACTTACATGGACGAGAGTTATCTTTCAGGTATTCTCATTCTTCACATCGTACGCTATTGTTGTTTGCAACTATAGATTCCTGTAAGGACACATCTGTTACATAAAAAAATTCAAGTCTATGTTATTTATTGATAATAAAATTTCTAGTTTTAACAAATCTCTTCAAGTAAAGTATAATTGAATAGTACGAATGTGATATTTGTTGATAAAATTGAAGTAAAAATAGTGAAGAAAAATAAATTAAGAGTCGTTTGAAACTGAACGACCTTCCAAATTTATTTGATTGTTATATGAAGTAATTTCGGTGAGTTTAATCTCCTTTATTGTACACTTATAAAGAAGTACTAACACACTGTAGATTTATAATTCTTATTATTAAGCGTAGTGAATTGAATGTTTAATTGTAACCTTTATAGACTAATACAGTTTATTCACACTAGCTAAATTTTAATGAGTTGTCGCTTCTACAATTCAACCTTGAACTACATTTTCGTAAAGCTGCAGACGTGAAGAGAAATTTTGATATCCAAGGGGTTCAGTATTATTAATACTTATAAGTATTTTAATAGAAATGTGTTCATTAAAAAAGTATCTAAACACCCATAAAAAATCGCTGTTCTTATACAAAATTTTATGCGGTTACTTGTAAAGAATTATATAAAAAATAATATTTAAGTAAGCTTAATCTCCTAATGATGTAGTTAACGTTAAAGCCAGTATATTTTGTAAGATATTTTAAATAACCCATTTATATAATGTAATAATTGCATAATGTATATGGTGAACCCTAAGGATGCGTCTTGACATCTAAATTAATAGCCATGTTGGTCTTAATGCTGTTATAAAACACTTTATAATAATTAGTATTATACTTGTAAGGATTAAAATATAATTTAAACATTAACTTTACTGTGAATGCTTGCTTTGGATGGAATAACAGTTTCCTTTCGAGTAGATTTAGTTTTTAAAGAAATTGACAATCTTACGTCTTTATTATATGTAGTATTAAAACATCTATTTTTCGTATACAAATATACTTTCTTCACCAGTCTGAAAAACAAATATTTTAATTTTACATGTTTTTTCTTTTTAGAGATTATTTATTACGTGGTGTCTAATAAAGTGTGAAATAAATATATTATCTTAAATTATAATCTTTGTTTTTAGATGCTTTTGTTTTTCTTATTATTCAAAGCCAAAAAATATAGGATGTGATAGGATCATTATATTATGTTTTTCGAGTGTCGTGGAGAAGATGCTCG